GGGGGAGTGGGTTGTTCTTTTTTATTTTCTATAAATTACTTTGGATTAAGGTTTTGTGTGGTGACATATTAAGGTTTCATCGTGACAGTCATTGTGATCATTCACACAAAGGAGAATTTTGCAAAATGTTGAGAGGAAACCCTTTAACAATAATTATTGCATCATAATTTCATCAGTTTTTTTCAGGATGTTTTTTCCTAATTTAAATGAGGCAGGCCCACAGGGATTAAATATGGAAGCCACAATGAATTAAATATTGTTGTACTCTTCATTAGGGGACTCAATTGGGTTCTTTAATAATCAATCTCTTGTCTCGTTGATTTTTTCTGACAGGGTAAATGTTGAATTACATGCCCATAGGTGTAACAAAATAAATAAATGGGAGCACATCAAAAAAGTTAAAACTTTAAGCGTCTTTGTAACATATGCCTTTCCCACTCTAACCCCTTTTTCTTTTCCCCCAGTTAACCTCTGATCATCTTCCATTTGCTCAGTGTGATTTTCAACATGAAGAGGAATACTGAAGCAGATAACGCAGTCACACTGTACAGTCTGCGGGTAGTTGAGGTCTGATAAAACAATGTGATGGTGGAAGAGAGGAAAAAAAATCAGCAAGGAGCATTTTTTTTTTTCTGTGCTGGATTGTTCTCTTTGATCTGGAGTGCAGTGAAAGGAGGGCATTATGTAACATCTTCAGCACACACATGGCCGACTGTGTGACTGCCAAACGCAAGGGGGGGGAGTGGCAATGGTGGTAATGGTGGTGCTGGGGGTTTGGAGGTGGGGCGGCAATGTGGCAAAGATGGGGAGAGGCAGACAGTAAAGGGGGAAAGAGATGGGGCCATGTAGGAGCGTTGTAGACATATGTGAGAGGAGAAACATAACTGCTCATATTGGTGTTGGGTCATTTTCCTTATTAAGGCTGCTCAGCCAAGCAGCAGTAATGTAGGCCCTAATAAGCCTCATAATGAGACATGAGATTGCCCTTTCGTGATGGTAAGAGCATTTATCGGCTGCTCAGTGTCCAAACCTACTATCTCAATTCTATGTCTGTAGTAAAAAGATGAAATTTGGGTAATTATCCTGGGTCCTGATTTGATGTAGGGAAAAAATGTTCTATCAAGGAATATTACTCTATCATTTGTACATCCTAATTGGCAGCAATTAATTATCTTGAAGGAGCAAACCAAGTGGCTGCGCAGTCATGGTATTGTGCAGCAGATGGCCCTTAAAATCAATCATTTACAAATCAATCCATTATATATAAATGAGTCAAGCCAACTCAAACAGTAGGAAATCACTGGCTGTGTCAAGCACCATACGGCCAAAAGGCAGGCCAAAAAGAGCAACGAAACGGGTCAAAAACTGAGCAAGGGAAAGCAGAAGGGCGACATAAAAGGGGATGCATTGGAGAAATGTTCACATAGGATTCTGCCAGATTAAAGCATTATGGACACTACATACAAGGGCCACATCTAAAAGGTGCTGTCTTAACTGATGGAAAGTAAGAAGGAAGTAAGGGAAAGGCAAAGAGCGATTGGTAGAGTGTGTTGGTGGTTGTACGCAGCTGAAAACTGACACTGAGGTGGCCTGACAGGTTCTGTTTCTGTTCATTGCAAGACTGTTATCCAGAGTGACCGTGTTGTCTTCCTTTCCCTCCACAAAGGTTATGCCATTGCCAGCAGTCTACATGACAGAATGAATGAGCTACAACCACTGGAGCCAGAGACGCTCATCAGTTTGGTCTTTAAGTATGATAACCCTGCACTTAATCCATACCACGTTCAAGAGTCATTTATGGGTAAATCGGCGCTTGATCTCTACATTTCCCCCCTTGTTTGCGACCTATACTGTGGCTGCATTTTAGAAATGACGTGCTTGGTAATCGGGTGTGTTGGGCTGTCAGCTCAGGGTGCATGATCTTGCCAGCATGACTCAAGTCTGCCCGTGAGCTGCTTCCTGTGCCTGTGCATCTACTCCAGTTTGCTTGTATGATCTATTTTAGATTCTTTTGCCCTAGGATGTGTGTGCATCCTCACAGCAGAGAGCCACAGAAAGAAGAAAAATAGGAGGGGGGGAATAGATAATGTTCAAATAATATACAGGCAATCATGCAAATTCCCCAGACGTTGTGCACTCTGGGATGCTGTAGATAGGGGTGCAGCCATGCATCCCATCAAGGCACAACAAATTTGGAATTAAGCAAACCGTTGAAGGAGATCTCAATCTATATGAGCTTAAATCCAGGCATGATGTGAGTCAATGAGTGTAACACTGCAAGGGCCACTTTTCTAAACGAGTGTGTAGTAAAATCATGAGTTTATCCAACTGGATTAATTGAAAATCCATACCATGTCATGGGCGCACTGTGTTTGACTGCTTCTCATTGGTTCTATCCTTTAACATAAGAGATTCCAAATGGAGAGAACAATGCTCTACATGTGTGTCTTGACCATATCTGAAGGAAGCATAGTCCATCCTGTTACAGCAATAACAGGAGGCAGCAACTGTTAGACTGAACCGTCATCGCAACCGCAGATGTCATGCTCCTTGTGGCCTTCACACATTGAAGGGGCCAAGCCAAATTTGGCATGACCCTGATGTGTCATCTTGATTTAGACACTAGTTTTATGATATCGAATGCGTGCACAAGTGTCTGCGTGCAGTACTGCAATTGGTTTTTTCGGCCAAGCAGGGAAATGTGGATCTTCTCTCCATAATCCCACAAGAGCAGGCTTCCTTGGAAGGCTTGTTGCGGCAGAAGCAGGGGCATTGTGATTGGTGAAAGGCTGGGTCTAATCTCGTTGAGGCAGTGGTCTGTTTGGAGGGCCTTTTAAGGAGATTTGGGCCCAAGGGGTGGAAGCAACAACAACCAAAAACCTATTTTTTTGCCAGTTGAAAGATTTGAGTAATGAATGGCGCTCAGCGAATTCAAATTAGCCAAAATGAAATGGAGGTAGACTCATTTACATTTTCATTCAATCTTCAAAGATTCCTATTTATAGCTTTAAAATTAACTAGATATGCTAAACCAAGACAATTCTTCCAAAACATAAATACATCGCCAATAAAATTTCAAGAACCGATCCCCTACAACTTGAGTCTGGGATCTGGAGCCATGTTGAGTAACATCTACTATCCATTCAGTCCTCAGCGTGAATGTGCTGTATTGACATCCATTAACCACTTTTACATTTAAAGTACATTTTCACATTACTAACAGACAGAGGGAGGAAATGCAACGGTCATATTCATCCCCCCAGAGTGATGACGCTCATCTCTTTGTTTCATCTCCAGGGATTGAGAGAATAAGGGGCTTCGTGTAAAGTGGTTAAACACCGCCATCTGCTGGTTTGAAGAGATAACAGGCAATCTCTGAAATCAAATAAAGCCTGGTTTCTCAAGAATGATCAGTTTTATTATCTTGTTTCCATTATATAACCCCAATTCCTATTAAGTTGGGACATTGTGTTAAAATAGTTAGACATGAACATACATTTCATTGTTTTTGCAATACTACACACCTGTTTTTAATTTCATGCCAGCACCATGTTTTAAAAAAAAACAAATGTCCAAACAAATTGGACAGGGTTATTATGTTTGCCACCCTGCATCACTTCTTTTTTTTTTTTTTTTACACTCTTGGTTCAAGTTAGCAGATAAATTATCACCGGACTCTTTTACTACAGAGCCAAGCAGTTTTAATATGTCCACAATATGGTTTGGCACTGTCTTGTAAAATAAGCAAGGCCTTCCCTGAAAAAGTTGTCAATTTGGCAGCATATGTGCAGGTTACCCATGTAACCATCTATGTTGACTTTAGAACTGTGCACAGATAAAGGTGGTCGACCTCCTCTTTATGCCCAGAGAACGGGGTATCCAGCATTTCCAGATAGAAAGTCAAATGTTTCCCTGTCCGACCTCAGCACACTTTTACACTTTGCCTCAGTTCATTTAAAATAAGAAGGCAGCAGCATTTCTGAAACTGCTGTTAATAACTTTCTTTTTTTGCATGATAGAGTTTCAGCTAGTATTTGTGAATGAAGTAATGAACTGTGTCCACAGCCAATGGTTTTTGGAAGTGTTCCTGAGAATATGCAGTGACATCCACTAAAGAATTGTGTCTGTTTTTACTGCAGTTATTTCACAGGATATTCGTTTTTTGGGGCAGAGTTATCTTCAGATTCTCTGAATCGTTTTAGAAACACAACATTTACTGCGTTGTTTCATCTGGTGTTTTTTTAAGTATTTCAAAAAAATTACTTTCGTCACTGTTCCAACTTTTTTTAAACATCTGTCAGTAACTTTTCAGGAATTGGGGTTGTAATATAATAATGAAAAGACTAAAGTCTTTCTGGGTCAGTGTCTGGATCAGTCTGCTTCTTATTCTTCCCATACTCATTTTTACAGAAACATTTTTTTCCAGCAGTAATTATCCACATTAGTTACCATGAGACCAAACCAACCAAACAACCTTTTAAGCCAACAGAGTCAGAAGTGTTTTCATATGCTGTTTTGGGGGGTTGATGTCAGCCACTTAACAAAAACATGACACTATACTAAACCTACCCACACAGCACTAAGAAGAAATTGAACTACATTGAACATTGCTTCTTTGAGAACAAAGTGTCAACAGGCTTTTTGTCCACTTGAAAAATAGAATACAAAACACTCAAAGTGGGACAACAATTTAAGAACAGAGACTTTAAGCATTAATGCTGAAATCTAAACAAAACATGTGAGACTCAATATTGAATTTTACTATCATCACGTCCCCCCACCTCCATTACTTCATGCACACCTTTACATGACTTTGTTGCCAAGTTAATCTCTGAAAGCAGGAAACAAGCATTCATTTTCAAAGGGGGGAGATCTTACGTTAGTGTACCATTTGACCAAAATGTAATGCAAACATTTTTTAAATTGTTGTATCAAATATATTACACATTTTCAACTTCAGTATGGGACATTTAATTTTGTAGAAAGGATGACAGGTACTATTAAAATGTTTGCATCTGTATGTTTATTTGAAAGAATCGGAGTACAAAAGAGTGGCATTTTCTTCCAGAGAAATTAAGAGAAAATTGAACACGTTCCTTTTATTCTAATTTTGTGAACACCTTAAACATGACCTTTTCGCTAACAGTCTTTGAGATACAGGTAGTATTAATATAAAAATTAAATAAAACTGAAAAATACCCTTAACATTAAATTGATTCAACTTGTGTCAAACAAGCCGATTTCATGACAATCCCTAAATTCCACTACAGTATGATACAAACAGAACGCTAAACAAACTCGTTAAAGTGTTAATACAGAAGCCTTTCTGAAACTCAAAAGATCAAAAGACTGTTGTGTTCCTGCACTTTATTCATCAGCTGACAATTGAAGGAAGATAAGTCAAGTTGAATTAAAACCATGGCTGAAGAAAATGAACATCCACGCTGTATACCAAAGCACTTCTCTGTCAAGAAACATAATATTTGAGATCATTCCGCGCGGCGCAATGATAGTCTTACGAGTAGAATAAAATATACAGAGAAGATAGTGAATTTAACTAGTCAAAAAAAAATAGATTAATAAAATGTTTATGTTTTCACATACCGTTAAGTGACAAAAAGAAATTAATTTACAATACTGTAACTTAATCAGTGTTGACAAACAGGTTAACTACTACTACTGTATCTAGATCATTTTAGAAGGGTGAGAATCATTCAAACTAAATTAATCTGCACAAAATAAACTGTGACACACTAACACTGTTTCTCTGTGAAAAGGAGGATGTCTGCAGGTCACATCAGGGCATCGACTTGATTAAAAATGTGACTGAGGTGACTGATAAGTGTCAGGAAGTCATTGATTGTGTAAAGAGAATTAAGGACAATTAAGCATGTGCTTAAAATCTTAGCTTAGGGGAAGACGTCTGCTCTGTTATTAAAGCAATGTAGACCAACTCTGTCGATCTCACTGGGAAAATAACAATCCAAGAACATTGTTTTCTCCATGATTTTTCAAAAACCAAACTATTAACTTGTTCAGTATAAATAAAGCCGCTGCTAACAAGACTGTGCTACAGAAGGTCAAATTAAGTTATTTCAGACATGTGAAAAGTCGTAGCATCCAGCTCCACAGAGTAACAAAGCAAAAAGCCTTTTAAACTGCATTCTCACAGCCTTGCCAGAGGCTGCGATTTATAGATGGCTGCCAAGATGCACACCTACATACAGTAATGAAAACCGGATACAAAAAATATATTGAGTACAACTGTACCAGCAGTGAATATTTTGAAAATGTTACGGATAAAAAATAAATTCTGAGTAAATATATAGTATAGAATAAGGTTTGTAATAGAACCCAGCTATTTGAAACATGCTTTCTGGTTAGACAAATCTACTATGATTGATATTAGTTTACTAAGTAATCACCCACAGTGAGCACACAAACGAGACACTCAACGTTTTTGGTTAACAGTGAATGAGTCCAGTTCAGCATCATACAAAAAGACAGATTAGTGTAGTGTCTTTAGAAAGCAAGGGGACCATTCGACACTTTCATTTGTTCTAATTAAGGCAGGTAACCTGCTACCCTAAATTGTCAGAAACTTAAAAAAAAAACACACAAGTAAGACCCAGCCGTCCTCTTCTTAAGAAATAGGAAAGAGGTGCGAGTTAGCATGGGAACAATGAAGACCAGATTATGGCTTTTATGTGCATGCGAAAGGGAGCGTATTTCTTTGGATATCAAGAAAGGTAAAACAAAAACATGTGCTCCAAACAACCAACCACTTGGTTGATTTCATTATCAAAACAAAATAAAATCTGTGATTGTACTGATCCCACACGTAACATTGTGAAACCAACTCATAACAGTTTTTACTACCCTCCATCAAATTTTAGAGTACAAATCTGAGCTGATTGTTCAAATAGAAGGTGCACCTCGAGGTCCAAGAGGGAGCAGCCAATGCGAGCACCGTATTTCTTCTGTTGTTTATGGCAAAGGGAAGTTGATGCTTGTCAAGAGTTGCAGTGGATAATCTCCACTCTCATATGCAAATACTAAGGAAGTGATTGTAACATTGACTCCTCATGGATCCGCCTCTGGGGTTTGATGACCCCCACCTTTAGACTTGAGTTGAAGCCAGGCATCTCCGAGCGCCTTGGCAAAGTGGTCATCCACTGAACCTGTGATGGACACCGAGTTGGAAACAGGCTCTGCTTCTTTATAGTTTTTTCCAAGGCTGCGGCGGAAGTGCTCCTCAATCACAGGATCGTTTATGGTGTTTGCTAAAATATTATTGTTAGTAGTGGAGGAAAACCAGATACCAGTTATTTCCAAGCATTTTCATAGACAAGAGAAGATATCGATGATGACACAATCAAGTCAAGAGAAAAATTAGAGTCAGAATTATTATTTTTTTAAACTCTCTCCAACTGATTTTGGAGTAATTAAAAATGTTTTGGATAAATGTGAAGGGATAAGAGCACAAATTATGCTTTCCTCATCAAGACTCACTTTCAGAAAGTTAGGTTTAAAACACTTAAGAAAAATGTAGTGAAAGTTTCGAGTGACTTGAGATAAAATCTTATGAATATAACTTTCACTTTGTCAACCAGGTAGATTTAACAACATCTCTACCTCACCGAGAAAAACATAATATATAGTGCCAACATCAGAACTATGAATATTTTTGTCATTGTTGGATCAACCTCTAAGAAGCAGACAGCCAAATAACATCTTAGAACATTTCAGTGACCATGAATGAAACAATACACAAAGAGGGACATACTGTATATTACTATATACAAGTATTACTTTACAGATTGACTGTTGTTAAGACATTTAAAAGGCTTACCATTGCCCTTCTTCTGGTCTGTAGGGGGGCTGGGAGAGCAGCCATTCATGTGGCAGTGTGATAGGTTACAATTCCGGTTGCTTGCAGGGGCACAGGTGATAACAGAGGGACGATTCTATAAGTGGAAAAAATACATAACTTCAGCTTGTGTCTCAGAAACGGAAACAACCAAAGTTTTTCTGATTCTGTTTCTTACACAGACAATCCTATGGCGTCGTCAGTCCACAACTTGTGAATTTCCTTTGGTCAGACATGATATGTAAAGATACTCTGTATTAATAGATTGCCTAATATATACAGCTGTTGCAGTGTTTCCCACAGAATTTAATGAGACTATGGTGGGGGGACACCGAACCCTCTAGGGGGGTCCCGGGGCATGCACCCCCGGGAGAAAAATGTGTACATTTTAAAGTATGATGCATCAATTTTGAGCAAAATTAAGAGGTTAAATGTATGAAAAACTTTGTTATCTTCTAACAATTTTGTGCTCTTGTAGTGCACAAATTGTCAAAACATAAAATCCAATGCCCATGGAAGTTAAATGGCTTTAGGCTTGGCCCATAGAGACCCTCAAGTAGGCATACTGTTCCTACTCCTCTTTCAGTTATGATTATCGCGCCTCTCCAGCTTCTGGTCCACATTTGGATCATTCCTCTACAACATGCTTCTATTTGATGACGTCATACAAGTTGCTGCGCAAAAGCATATTTTATAAATTGATTGTAATGTTAAGTATTATAAATATTTAGAGTATTAACAGCAGCTCAGACGATTTAAGAACATTTCAAAATCAAAACGTTCAGACGTGGTTTATGACCAGTTTATATACTTTTTAATAAGCAGGGAGGGTGACGTGCAGATGCACAGACAGAAGACCACTCAGCGCACATTGAGCAGTTTGGACACCATGAGTCTGTTAACAGCAGAGACTGCAGTCTGCCGTTCACAGGTTGACATGTAAACTGTAGAGTAATGATCAATTTAACCTTTTGTTTCTTGTCCATCCAATTACATGCGCAATGGCACATTGTAGTCCACGGACCCACCTTTATCTTTAAATGCACGTTTTGATATAATGAGGAAGATACACTCTTGAAAAAAAGGTCTGATCTAATGTTTGGACTCTAATGTTTTTTTTCAAGACAACAGGTGAGCAGCCGAGCAGCGCGGCATCTTTAGGCGAAATTTATTTTTTTCCGCTCTTTCAGAAGTTGTTTTGAAGGTCCTAAAATAATATTCAGCTAGAATTTTGATATCTGGGTTTACAACTAGTTACACTGCTTTTTCTGACAGGGTGATCAAACGTCTTTGATTGTGTTTAAAACCTTCGAAACCTGCGCAGTGATTGAAAAGCTGTGAGTTGTAACACTCTGCAGGAGGTATTATAAACAAGGGAACGGACAAACAATCACACATTCCAGTGTGCACATCACATTTAAAAGGGTAAACTGTACTTACAATGTTCTTAGAAAAAAAAAAAAACAGAACGTTCTTATAGTTGATAATAACTCCCTGACGCTAGCGCGACAGATTAGACTATGGTGGGCCGCCACAGTCTAATTAATTAATGGGAAACACTGTGTTGAATAACTGAAAAAGTCCTAAATGTACATTTGCTATTTCATTTTAGAGAACTCTACAGTGTACAAATACAGAGAATTAACTTCTGAAACAGTAAATGCATAGAGGTGTTCCCCTTCAGCTGGAAAGTGAAAAAAAGTATCCATATTTAGTTTTAGGTTTAACACACCCCAAGAGGAACAAAGTTTTCCTTCAGCCTTGGCAGGAGTAGTAACTCTACATATGACAATGATTCTAATATTTGTTTTGGGTTAGGCAAATCAAAATCAGGTATTTTTTAAAGTCTCTTTTAAGGTCATGTGCTTTCCTTCTCGTCACAACATTAGATAGCCCTTACGTAAGTGTGACAAGTTGATCTACCTGCTGGCGCTCTGAAGTCCCACTACTGATGACGGACCTCTCTCTGCTCCCACCTCCAATATCATGGCTGCTTTTGGTCAGAGCAAGAGGCTGATCAACAGCATAGCCAGAAATGGAAGCATACAGGTGGTTTCCATGGAGACCGTTGGAGGAGGAAGTAATGTGCTCCACAGGAGTGTGACTGAGGCTCCAGTGTTCATTACGGTTGTCCCCAGCTGAGGGGCGAGCCCTTAATATAGAGAGGACAAAATGAACATATACCACACAGCTTCTACTTTTTGAGACATATTATACATCAACATAGTGGTGGGCGATATGGAAAAGATATATCACAATATTTCTGCAACACTTTAAAATGATAATCAAGCATTGTGTCCTCTTTTGTGTCTTTAAATCTATTCTAGTTTTAATTTTAATAGTGATGCATTCATTTAAAAACTTGTGGACTTAAAACATGATACAGTATGTGAGTATTCTCTGACACATGGTCAAAGTAAGTTTTACAGAAATTAGAGTTTTATTCATAGAGGGGGCGGGACATCATCAATTGATAGACAGTCACCACGGTTACTCACTCTCGCTTGCTACACACTGAACGAGAGGAGAAAGAGCTGCTGACTGACATTACTTCAAGCAGCATGCATGCTGTTCAAAAACATTTTTATAACAACCGAGCTCCGGACCACGCAGATATGAACGCCTCCCTCCTTTTCATAGCGTAGTTTAATTTGTATTTCCGTTATCACAACAGGTGAGTTTAGGGTGGAGAGGCTTGTTAGTAACTTGTAAAAACTGAGAGAGCAGGGAACCCCCGCAGCATCAGTTTAGATCTCTGATCAATGACTGTCTGAGCCCCGCTCTGTCTGACGCTAAGCAGACTGTTAACATCTCTCAGGCTCGGTAAAAGAGTTTGTTGTGCCGCCATCCAAAGTAGGCTACAAACCTTAATTGTGCAAACTCTGTAAAATAACTGCTTCTTTTTACAGACTAACTTTATAAGAGTTTAGTTTTCATTTTCAGCGATCATCCCGCTCCGATGGGGAGAGTGAGACGCGTCTGTGTGGGAGCATAAACTGCAGCATGGTAGAAAGAACACTGTAGCCCGATTCTACGATCTCTCTGCTAAGATCGTCAACACATTCTAATCTTTCACAATCTAAGATCGTTGTATCGCACAACACTACACCAACAGTCATTCTTTGTCTACAACACCAAGACAGCGTAGACCAGAGTCAGCATGATTTCTTAGACTTTGTTTTCAGGCGCAAATGTTTCTTGAAATGTAAAAACTTAAAGCATAGTGGTCTAAACGTTTATGCTATTGTTCAGATCATGTTCAGGCCTTTTTCTTCATAATATTGGACCAGACAATGTAATGCTTTTTTAGTTTGACTGTTCTTAAGAGTTGTTAAATAAATACAATTCCTTGTGTATTATGCATAGAGCGATACTCTGATAATGACAGGACAGGCTCAGTATGACATTTGTGTTAGAATTGTTGAAAGGAACTTACAGCTGTGTGGCAAACAATCTGCTCATTTTTGTCATGTGGTCATCATCGCAGTTGATCCGATCGTCCATTTGTTCTTCCCCATACTTCCGTTTGCTTGGGCAGTGTGTAGGAGGCCCAGTTATGTTGGACATGGCAGTGGGAAGAGACGGGGTCCTGGATTCATCTTCAGAAAGTCATAAAAACTTTTTAATTACCATTGTTTTAATGCAAATACATTTATTATATTATGGATATTAATACAAATTGTATCTATGTCAATGTACCACATCTACAGTATACAATGGAGTAATAAAGATGAGTCTGTTGTCTTCATAAATATGTAGAGATGATGAATTTGATCAGTATTCAGAGATGGAATTGATATTCAAGTTAACTTTTCAAAGGCTCAATTAACAATGGGGTAGTCCAAGTCAGATGTGTACAAAATGCTTTCAACATCACACTGTAGACGCTCAGGAAATATGTCTGGCAAGGTCCCTGCACTCAAATTCACTTCATTTGGCTGTCTACTCGCCGTTATATTGTATAGTTTCTGCTTATTATATGTCTACACTCATGCACTTTAACTTATGTGAATACTGTCCATGTTTTTGCACATTTACACGTAATCTTCCATATTTAATCTTCCTATTTAAGAATAGTAATGCTTAGTTAAATCCTGGTTGTATATATTCACATTCTTGGTTTTGATATTTTTAGTACTTAATTACTTTGTAGTTAATATTATATTGTGTTTAGATTTGCAAACATTGTGTTTTTTTACTCATTGTGTGTTGGATAACCTGCTGCTGTAACGCCACAATTTCCCAGTGTGGGATCAATAAAGTAATTCTATTCTATTCTATTCATCGATCGGCATCTACATGTATTGATTTATGTGTTTCGAATCATGTTTTAAGAAATTAAAAGCTATTAAGTTTTATTTTTGTACACCCTGTTACGTGTCGTAGTTTTGTGTGTTCTCGCTCTCCTGTGTGTGCTCCCCAGGTGTTGCTCCTTAGCCTCGAGTGCCCAGCCACACCTGTGGCTAATTACTAATCAGGAGCAAACTATAAAGAGCAGGAGAGAGGAGGTTGCCAGTTGCCAGTGAGTCGTTAGACTGCGTGTGACTCTGACGAGAACTTTAGAGTGATCCTTCTGTGTAAGCTTTGTGTTCTGATTAAGACCTTATTGTTCATATCTTGAGTGTTAGTTTTGAATTGGCTTCTCTTTTGTTTTGTGTTTCACATTTTGTTTTAGTTTGTTAATAAATCATTTTAAACTCTGCTTATATTTAGTTCCTATTTATTTTCCCTGGGTTTTAATTTATTGTTACTCCCCTCATCCCCTAGCCACCTTGGGGAGTGTAACAATGTAAAACAACAACACACCTGTTTTAAGTATGCCTCACTATAAAATGAAACCATTGTCAACTTAACACTTAGCTGAAGGTATTAATTGTGTAAATCAAACCACTCAACCAATTGACAATGTTGTGTACGTCACTCTAGATGTTGTGCACGTCACTCTAGATGTCGTGCACGTCACTCTAGATGTCGTGCACGTCACTCTAGATGTCGTGCACGTCACTCTAGATGTTGTGCACGTCACTCTAGACTCTAGATGTTGTGCACGTCACTCTAGACTCTAGATGTTGTGCACGTCACTCTAGATGTTGTGCATGTCACTCTAGACTCTAGATGTTGTGCACGTCACTCTAGATGTCGTGCACGTCACTCTAGATGTCGTGCACGCCACTCTAGACTCTAGATGTCATGCACGTCACTCTAGATGTTGTGCACGTCACTCTAACCATAAGAAAAGTTGTGAAAAAGTAAACATCAGACCTAAACCAAATCCTTTCTGACATATTTATGTAAGCAAACTTCACATGTTACTTTCACAAATAAGTCAAACTCAAATGTCACAAAGACAGAACCATGTTAAACTAACCTTCGTAGTGCAGTCTCCCGATGTTATTGTTCATCTTGTCCAGGAACTGAGAGTTCAACAGGTCCATGCTAGTGAATCGCATTTACACGCACAAGCTTGTTGCTAACATCGATGTTAGCAAGATCTACAAGCAGGGCAACAGAAATCTTCAAAAAGAAAAGACACATTGGTGAAATAAGTTAGTAAACATGGGTGGAAATCTCGTGGAAATAACCATTGTTATCTTGGCGTTGGTGGTGTAGCAAGCGAAGGATGGTGACGTGAACGATTACAAAGTTAGCAGCGCCACTAGCTGAACATGTAGCGTTAGCTGGGCTCAGATTAGCGCTACAAAGTTAAGACTATCTTAACCTTACATTTACTTTAACGTAGGTTGACAGACACGGTGTTTCTAACGTTCATTAAAACAGAGATACACGTTTGTATAACTTTACAAACGTCATAATTAAAATACTTCTACCTTCGTGGCAGGAGCGGCCACAGCTAACGTTAGCTGCTCCTCAACTTTGTTGTTAGAAGTTTCCCCGATAAATTTATCAAAAGGGAAGAAACGGTCCGCTACACCCAGTAAGTCAAAAAAGTACAGTTGAGTTATTTTCAGTCTTTTAACAACGAAGTTCCCAAAGTAACGATGACAATAACTCTTACTTACTTATCGATAAAATTGGGTTTTTTGCCACAACATCACCGCGGCTAGCCCAGCTTGCCTTTATCCACGCACTTTCCCACCAGTGTTGCCAGATCTCGCGAGAGAAACAAGCAACCAGCTCTATGGAAACAAGCCCAAAACAAGCGACCTGGCTCCTCAAATAAATAAAATGAAGCCAAACAGGTTGCCTAACCTATCACATAGATAGCAGTTGATAGCACACACATATATATATACACACACAATATATATTTATACATGTGTGTGTTTGTCTTGTCTCATTGTGGACGGATTCTCGAAATGGACAAACTATCGCGATCGTGTTTGGCTTTATTGTGGAGAGTTGGGATTGAATCAGTAGAGGTTCATCACATAGGGAGCAACTGCACTTTAGAAAACAAGCCCCCAAAACTCGCAACACCCGATATTTGCAAGCGACTTTATATAAAAAAACAAGCCCAAAGTCGCTTATAACAAGCGGACCTGGCAACACTGTTTCCCACCGTGCTCGTCCTCGAACAAAAAAAAAAAAAAAAAGGTCGAGAGCGATCCTGGTGGAAACAGAGGGGAACAGGGCGATGGGTGTTAAAGCGTTTGGGAAATGATCAACACCTAAGAGTTTAATGATTTTCAGCTACAATGTGAGTTTATTCCACACGTGAATTTTCTGAAACTGTGATGTTGACGTTTTCCTATCGACCAAGCCTCAAACAAAATGCACAATTAATTACTAGTAGCTGCAGAAGTTTAAAAATAAATCCTACCTGTGCAAGATCCCTCTGCTCTGAGGATTGCAACAATAACTTAGTTTAATAGTTATATTAGTTAACCACTAACAACTATAGTTTGATTTTTAAAATATTTTTGTTATGGCATTTGAGGGCAGCCCCCTTATGATGAACTGTCTTTCATAAGTCTGTTGATCTTAAACATTACAATAACCATAAGTCTGACCTTGCTCCCCAAACAAAACAAATTACATGGACATACAATTTCTTGCAATAATCTCATAACATTGTGTAGGCTACACTCCAACAACGCGATGCAAGTAGCCCAGACATTTCCTGAAGCACAGATATGATGGGTCACCCTCTCTGTACCATATACAGTCAATGCTCAGGACTGTTTGACTTTCTTATTTTTAGAGAGGACTTGTCTGATAAATTCAACGGTTGGTTTTGATGATCAGTACACTACTACCACCAGCTGATGGCACTCTTTTACCAATGCAGAAGATTCAGTGCATTGTGGCGCCAACAGAAAACTACACTTTCATCACAGACTCTTTGGATGTGCTGGAAGAATTTGCATCCTTTCTTTATCCGATTATATCATGCATCTTATTCTGTAAATGATTATTACAGAGAATTAAACATGTCGGATGCATAACCTTTATTTATAGGCTATATTCAAAAGCATGAAAAATGGCCTCTGAGGGATTTACAATCCATTGAGCAAAAACAGCCCCTATAACAAGACCTAGATATCATAAAAGAATAACACCCTTTAACAGAAATAAATCATGTAATTTCCTTGATATATTTTATAAGTATAGGCACAATGACTGTACAAATTACAGTTAGTCAAAGAAAATGACAGTATTTAAAAGAGTACACAATACTATAAAATCCTGCATCGTCACTCAAATGCTAACCTCCACAATTCAGCATTGCAGCATTCCTGGCATTGTGAATATTGTGTTCTCATGCTGATTTTGTTGTTGTTGGAATGCTTAAAGCTAGTGCATGTTTTGTTGTTGCAACATGCTCAGGTTTAGAAAATACTAGCACGATCACACTTATTTGTATTTTAACCCAAACTGCTCTACACATAAAAAGATCAAACATTTCAATCCCTTGAAGAGCCTATGATGGATACAAAAGATGTTGCCATCTTTTTCAAGTATCTACCAATGTTGTGCAGATTATGTACTCAAGTTTTGAGAGTGTTTATGTGCAAGTATATGTTATATTGTGCAATGTTACATTTAAAGTATTTTATCTAATCACTTAGTGCAGCACTAAAAAAGGGGCCTCTCTGGGCCTGTCAGTGCAGTTTCAATCTCCCAGTGGCCGAGGGAGTGTTCCCAGAGATCAGCCTCTAACCAGTCGAGCAGATATAAATAGCACAATGACAACAGTCATCAAGCATTTTAAACCCTCAGGTTGTTCTGTGATAAAATACACGTGCTGAGAAATTAGGATTTCAATGACTCCGTCATGAAATGTATGTATCCTTAGATCAGTCGATTCAAACTGTGCAGCTCATTGGCCAGATTTGTTATGGCCTCTGAGCACGGCAAGTTATTGATTTATTGATTTGTTTCCCGACTCGTTTCTAAAATATTGGTTTTGTCACCTGCATGGAAATGGAGGTCTGCAATGGTTTCATCAAACTACCTCTGTTCCTTCTTTATTCTGTTCATACAACAATTAAGACGTGTAAGGGCAACCTATGGTATTGTAATGAAGAGTACCACTGACCCTTTTTTCTAAATATTTCAACATCATTGGGGAATTAATAACAAAGTGCTTTGAAAATATATATCAGCTTTTTAGATATGTAAATACAAAGTTTTTCCAGTATAGAAAAACAATATAATACATCTTTGTGCAGTCATGAGCATGTGGATTTGATATGTGTAGATGTAAATGTTTATGTGAAAATGTAAAAGTGCATTGGTGAACTGTGCCACACAAAGTGGACATTTGTACAATTTTGTCTCAAAATAGCGGTAAGGTAAAGCATATATCATAGGCACCTATATTATGTTAAATAATCATTAATGAGGAGATTGATAAATAATTAAGAGAAGTGGTTTACTGCATGCATTTGTGGCTCAAGGGACCGCTGCTGACGCCTTTCCTTCCATACAACATTGCCCACCAGTCGTAACAGCCATTTTAGATTTCATGGCTGCATCTTACTGGCACATTACTCCTCTGTATGGACAGTTGAAACAGAAGAAACATAGGGAGCAGGAGTCAGGCAGTTATGATGTAGCACTCAGCATCCCCTCTTACACTTCCCTGGAAACCCCTCTATTTTAAATGCTGTGGTTCAAAAAGCATGACGCCTGTGAGGAAGGGAAGAAAATGGGGGAGGGGAAGAGAAGGCAAACACACGAGTAGAGAGAGTAGAGAGAGGAGAGGACGTGAGGAGGAAGGAGAGGCACTGGCAGAGGATCATTGAAATGGTTGAGGAGAGCACAGTGATTGGCTGAAGGGGAGTGAAGCGTCATGACTAGTGAGGGGGAGCTCTGAGGATGCTCCGCTGAACTGGGAGGGAATACATTCGCTTGGAGTTTGCATTGAGAGCTCAGCCATTGCCAGCTGTAGAACAGGGACTCCTCTGCAGAATCATTTTCCACACCCAGTGCTTGTTGACTCCTCTGCTCTCTCCGCTGCAGCCATGAATTATCTACGCCGGCGTCTCTCGGACAGCACTTTCATCTCCAACCTGCCCAATGGCTACATGACAGACCTCCAGAGGCCCGAGCAAGCTCAGCCTCCTCCACCTGCCACCACCACCCCTGCCAAGTCTCCAACAACTGGACCCTCATCGCCAGCCACGTCCCCTGCACCCGAGAAAAAACCCCAGCCACCTCAGTCCACCGGAGCTGGTTTCTTTAGCTCCATCACCAACGTTGTGAAGCAGACAGCTGCCTCAGCAGGGCTGGTGGAGCAGACCCAAGTCACGACACCTAAGAAGTTCAAGATTCTCCTGGTAATTGACGAGCCACAACAGGAGTGGTAAGACAATATGTTGCCTTCCTTAGTTTTAAAGTGAATCTTGAATAATACATAGTCTATCTATTGATCTTTAGCTCACGTTTTTTACTTATCTCTCCTCATGGTTTTGTTTGAATGTTGGAGTTAGAGGGAAAGATCCACAGACACTACATCTGTATCCAGCACCCTGCAGATGTGAATGGGAACTGCTGCTGTGATTTGATGGTACAGCATGCCAGTCTTACGATGAAACATACTGGTAGCCAGTAATTAGAGAAATACGGTCTATTGATTCCCAGCAGTAACACCATTACATGAATAAGAAAGGGTTTTTTATTGTCTCTATTTTATCTGCTTGTCTGTAGTTTTCTTTTTGTAATACCTTTCACAGCAAAAGAAGGTTTAGAGCTACCTGTTAAAACATGGTGAATTAATGACAAGCACTATTGTCTATAAATGTGGCATTGCACTTTCTAAAAACCAGGTGGGGTAGAAATAGGAAAATGCACATGGATGTATACTGCAGTGCTTTCCTTTCATCAATGGGGTTTCCCTCTGCTCAGTGATCACATGACCAGCCCTGCGCTAACATAGGGCATCATTTATGTTACTAACCGCAGCCCATGTTGCATGGAGCTCCTTTAGTGGTGATGTGGATTGGTAAGTAAAAACACAAGCGAATAGATAACATCAGCTGCATGGCTGTTTGTCTCCTCATGCTGGGAGAAAGCACCATTGTGTCATGAATATGAAGTGAGGGCTTATGTTGAAGTGCCGTGACACTGACAGTCAGTGTCCCTGGGGAATGTTACTCAGAGGTAGCAACAAGAATATTTGTCAGTCAAGTCTTGAAAAGAATTATTTTGCGCTGGATAAGTATGGGCAATGATTTGTAGGACACGTCAGTTGTTTACACCGCTGAATTATTTGCACAGCAATGTGCACCGTATTAATAGAAAATATTGATATTTCATAAGTAGACAGCAACATCTTTCTAAATAGAACTCTGTGGTGTCTGTAGAGTAGAAAGCAAACTACTTTCACCTCAGATGACATGCAAATCTTTTGAGCTTCCAAAGGTCTGGTGGAAATATCACAGTTAAAGTTTGGGGTCGATCATTTTCTTCAGATACACTTTATAAATATATATATACTGTCTCAATATACTGTCTCAATTCCCAACTCCCCCCAGTTAACTTCATCATTCATTTTGTACTGTATATACCCCCTGTTTTTTTTTTTTATTTTTTTTTTATTGTTATTATTTTTTTAAATTATTATTATTATTTTATTTTATTTTATTTATCTTATCTATTCTGTTTATGTGTATTTTTGAGCTTTCTTGTCTGTGCTGCTGTAACGCCCGAATTTTCCCTCTGGGGATCAATAAAGTACTATCCTAATAATTCATGTGCTGAGAAAAAGGAACGAAGAAAACCCATCATCTGTAGCAGTTGTAAGCATGTAAAAATTTCTACAAATTTGATGAAGGTAATTTGTTGCTTGTTTTGAGTGTAAGACAGTGTAAATGAGAGGGCCAATGTAGTGAGAGTTAATTGTACACTGTTAAAAATACATATCTGAATCTTCTGAGGAAATAACCATCAACACACAGATTAATACAAATAATGTGACATCAGCGTGCCCATTCCAGGTAGCCCTGCAGTGTACTCTTAGCATGTGTGCAGGACTGGCATTTATATAATAGAGGCCTGGATCAATGTTAATAAGATCAGACCCTGTCAGAGGGATGGATGCCAGCCTTGTTCCACATTTGTTATGAGTGGAAAGGAAGCAGCTTGTTTAGGAATAAATATTACAGTCTTATGTACCACTATATAGACACTGCTGGCAGACAAAGACCATTTTAAGCATTAAACTAAAACCCTGACATTCATCAAAAGGTCATGCTAATCGAGAATATTGAGCATGTTGGGCTTGGAGAACGATAATGTCCACACTCCACAATTCTCACTGCTGGCATTTAACGAGATAATGATATGAAGTTGTTTCCCTGCGTTTGATAAAAACGTCAAGTGAGCTCCTGCTTTGAAATGATTACTATTGCCACATGTGGATTTATTCACTATAATGTGTGTTATTATCAACTCCACAGACTGATGGTGCTCTCGTTGCATGCTTTCTACATGGATCTGGCAGATGTTTACTATCAGTCGGGAGCTGTAACACCTCTTTCAAAGGCCTCAGTCTCGCTAAGTGCTGCATCTATTTTTCATGGCTGCTCAATACCACTGAGCAGGGAGGCGTTCATGTCTGTTGACAAGGTTTGGTTTCTTTGGTTACTTCAATGAGACCTTTCACCCGGTTGTTGTTCATCACTATGGCAGTAGTAATCCTCCTTGGTGTGGTGCATGTCTGCCTCAGTCAGCTCCCTGTAGCTTTAACCTGTAGATGTTAATGTGGTGATAATGTTTGAAATGGTACTGTTTGGACTTTTAACTATGATATAGAGGAATAAATACCATTTTAAAGGTTAGGTAGAGAGGACTGTGCCTTAAATGTACTGAAGTGTATGCAATACTGAATGCTTTGTATTCAGCTCTCGCAGCAGCAGCAGGATGAAAACCACAGATAAATAATTGGCCAGCTTTAAGAAGATGAAAAGTGTCTTCATCATCATACAGGTTTTGCCAATACCTAATATTCTTTATAATGTTGGCACACCTTCTACAGTCCATGGATATTATTGTGCATCATTGTTGGCTGATTCAGGACTTATTTCTGAAAGCTTCACTGTCAGAGTAACCAGACATGGTGGCCTCAAGATACTCATACTCAGAATGAAATCAGGGCTAGAGTCCTTGAGACTAATTGCATCTGGCAGAAGGTTTGCCCATCAACATCTATTTATCAGACCTAATTTCAGAGGATTTCTGTACATACAGACTGCATGATTGTGTGTGTGTGTGTGTGTGTGTGTGTTGACATTAATGTTGTGTACAGTTCTGTCCTCTTACTCAAAAAATGGCATTTCCTGTAATCATTCAGATATTTTTAGAACCTTGAATACTAGAACAAAAACTAATGCTTTGATTTTGTAAAATAATCTCAGAAGTCAGAACAAACATTTATCTCACTTTGACTTTCTAATTAACTATTTCACATAATAGGACAAACAACAGACTGTAACACATATTGATATGTGTGATTCAGAAGCATTAATCAACAAGACATTTGTCAAAAAATCCTTTATCGCGTTGCTGCAATCACCCATGCTAACAAGATAATCTAGTGTAGGGTGACCCTGCAGCTCAGAGCAAGAAGAGGGAGAGAAAATCTAACAATAAAGTCACTCTAGACAAAGCGAGTTTGAGTCTTCTTAAAAGTGTGCATAAAGAAGACAAAAGTAAATAGAAGTAGTAGTAGAGATTGATTTGAATGAGGCCATTGTTGTGCAACAGGTTGTTTTAGGCAGAATCATTCACTGTACATAATGAAATATGTGCTGATGAAATCACAGTAACTGCCAGGCTTAGATCAAATATAGAGACAGAAGCTCCCTACACCCTCTGTGTTTTCCTGATAGATGAAACTGCCAGACATCCACAGAGGTTAGTTTTGTTCCAGGAACGCCATGCTATATATATATATATATATATATATATATATATATATATATATATATATATATTACTCCTATATGACAGGAGGAGCAGATGTTCCACAGTCTTATTTATCAGACTAGTAGCTCTGCTTACTCATCTCCTCTGTCTAGATTTCAAGCAAAGAGGCTCAGACTGGCTTTTATTCTGCCTATTAATGTTCAAAATTACAAAAGAAAATACATCGGGGACTGTTTAAACTGGAGCCAGACTAGAAATATTAGCACTGTGAGCTTAACCTTGATCAAACATTACCCCTATGTGAGAGTGAATGTTAAGCAGGCTAAGTGATGAGACATTAAAATTCAGCAAGGGCTCCCGCTTACCAAGCTTGGGGGTGAATCATCTAAATGAAAAGTTTTTTCACAGCGATGTGTAATTTGGCAGTAGTTTGTCTTTACAAGCATTAATGAAGTCTCTTAATCGTTCAGTGGCTGTGTTTGCATACTATTGCTTTAAAATTCCATGAAGAAACAGTCTTATATGTTTTTTAAATTTTTTTTTATTGCCTCGTTTGTCATTCAACTCAGAGGACCCATATTGATTTCTACAAATGAAAGATTATAAGGAAACATCTAGCTATCATGCTCCTGGCTCTCGCTCTCTGTCAGTGAGCGGCTGCAGGCTCTGTGCCCAGTCTGAAGGCCAGTCTGTAAGTCAAGGGCAGAATTATCTCTCTTATAAAGCAATCACTCACTTAAACACAAGTACAGGTAAAGTTAAAGGTAGAGTCAGGAGCAGCTTGTAAACACAAGATTCATATTGGGGCCCCTCCTCCTGGGATCACCGCCTCCAGAAGCGCACGCCCATGCAGGTTTAGTGTGTACGTATATACTGCTGCTTGTACCTACACTTCCAACTACCTGACACTATAGGCTTACTACATTTGTTGTTATGGAAAAGTCGATATTTAGCGAGCTGGCAAAAGCTAACCACCGGTGTTTGGCACCTGCCTGTCAGACAGAAAGCAGGCCAACTCCGTGTCTGAGGGTGAAAGCCAACCCAAGGTTCGCCCTCATTTTGGAACAAGCTTTATCTGCTAGGCGTTTCACTTTATTACATTATACATTTTCTTCTCTCCCACTACGTCCACATTATTTGCCTGTTTGAATGGCGTCCAATCGCTGAATTGTATCCACTCCAAAACTCACCTATGAGTTGTCATTGGCTACGGGAAACACACCTGCTCCCCGTCAAGAAACGTCCCAAGTCAACCCAAAGTTTAAAATACAGGTAGAGGACAGGGTCTCTGCAGACACACTCACCACCACACACGTATGAGTCATGAGTGATGATTGAGAGGCATTACTTTTGAAACTACTGACCCTATCTTAAACACAGCACAAGGCTTGATTTGAACCAGAGGAGCTGGTAATTGTGAGTTGACTGTCTAAAAATTGCATTTTAATGTATTGTGATGAAAGATCATCTTTCAATATGTGGCTCAGGGATCATTTCATGGATTAAAAACGAGCATTATAGTTTGCATGCTCCACGCAGCCTTTCAATGCTGACAGAGATGAAGACATAAAACACAAAATGAAATCAGAGGCTTGTCTTTTTCACGCCTCGTCTCTGTTTTCCTGTCTAGGGCCCTGTTTTGAAAACACTCTCGATCTACAGTATGTACTGGCAACGAGCATTTATCACAGCACGCAGACGGCTTTTCATTCTCCCAGATATATGAGCTGGGATTAATTTTTGACTGCTTGTTTTTCTTCACAACCAAATAGATCCCCATGCTCTTATTAGATTAGGGGTGAATTGTTCAGCTTTACCTTCTCACATGATATTGCAGGGAGTGAAGGGTATATGACAGCAGGGAGATAGAAACTAAGTAGAAGAGAAAGTGAATCCTACAAAACATGAGATCAAAATACAATAACTAAGACGCAGATATTCATCAATCCCTATGTGAAAACTTGTCGTTTTATTTTCCCACTGTTTGACTGCAGTACATATCTCCTTTCAGCATGGAGAATAAAAACCTCCCGAACTCTAATTTATGGAGAAAGAAGGAAGAGGTTCTACTCTGGACCCCCATGAGTATTGATTTACTGGAGATCTCCCCTCTCTACTGTCAAAGCTTAAATTGTCAGGTCCAGTGTCTGCACATCAGTTTAGGGAAGATTATAGATATCGAACACTCAGTTAAAACGCTGTGTTGCTTCTGCAGGTTTCAGGTCTGTGTGCTGTCAGATCCATCTTGACCTTAAATACTGTGGGGATCCAGGACCAGCCGGTGTGGTTCTGATTTGAGCTTGGGAACAAAGTGTCTTAAAAAATGTTGAATCACTGTTCATTTCAGGTGTAGCTTTGTTCCCCATTAAAGTGGATTCAGTTGTGGCGCTCGTGGGGCAGTGGTTGGTGCGCGCGCCCCATGTATGGAGGCTATATAGTCCTCCAAGCGGGCGGCCCAGGTTCGCATCCCACCTGTGGCTCCTTTCCCGCATGTCATTCCCCACTCTCTCTCTCCCTGATTTCCAGCTCTATCCACTGTCCTATCTCTACATTAAAGGCACAAAATGCCCAAAAATAAATCTGTGGATTCAGTCGGTGTGTTAAACATGCTACCTCGCTGTGTTACCCCAATAAGGTGCTACCGGGATGAAGGTACTGCTAAATTGCACTATTTGTGTGGTGTGGTTGGTTGCCATAAGAATAGACAGCCTTGAAAGTGTTGCTATGCTTTATCTCTATGCTGGTTGCCAGATTGACATGAATAAGTGTTATGTGGCTGTGTTTCATCATTTAGAAAAGCCTGAAAGGGAATGTTTGTCTACTCTGTGCTTCCAACATTCAACAAAGAGTGTATTGAATATTTCTCATAATTTTGGTGTTGATTGTTTTTACGTGCTGGAATTCCACTGATATTAATCTCTGATAGGAAATATTCATACTTTTATTTAAAAAATTGTGTTTCTGTTTCATCAGGGCAAAATTATTCCGTGGAAAGAAGGTTCTTGGAGATTATGACATTAAAGTGGAACAGGTATGTTGATTGTTCACTTCAAGTTCTTGTGTAAAAAAAAAAAAAACAGAGATATTGAAGCACTCTGTCCTCATGTGATTTTTTTTTAACTCCTCAGGCTGAATTCAATGAGATCAACGTTGTGGCTCACGCCAATGGGACCTGCAACGTTAACATGCAAGTTCTCAGAAATGGCACCAAGGTGATGAGGTGAGACACACACATCAGGAAGACAGGAAAGCAGAAGCACCTCATGACTGCCTGATGCATGTGCATTTCTATCAAAACCTATTACAATTGTTTTAGTTTTCTGTGCAGATTTTTGTCACATTTCTGCTATATTTTTATCTTCTAGGTCGTTCAAGCCAGACTTTGTCCTCATTCGCCAACATGCATTCAGTATGACCCAAAACGAGGATTTTCGCAACCTGATCATTGGTCTGCAGTATGGAGGTGTCCCGAGCATCAACTCCCTCGAGTCCATCTACAACCTGTGTGACAAGCCTTGGGCGGTAAGCACTCAGCGGCAGGGGAGATCTGTAAAGCGTGGAAGAGAAGAAAATATTGATATTTTCTCAGTAATCTACTCAGTGAATGAGTCTATAAATTGTCTCTAATTAGTTTAACTTTTTTGTGTGCCCAGTTTGCCCAGCTAATCAATACCCACAGGAAGCTTGGTGCTGAGAAGTTCCCTCTGATTGAGCAGACATTTTACCCGAACTACAAGGAGATGGTGAATATCTGTCACCAACCACTTTGTACTACAACGAAAATAACATCAGAATTTCATTGACACTAAGCAAACAACGCTGAACTTTATTATTTTAGGTAAGCATGCCATCGTTCCCCGTTGTAGTGAAGATCGGACATGCCCACTCTGGCATCGGGAAGGTATGAAAAGTCCATCATTTTGTTCAAAATTCAACTTTAGACCATTTGAAACAACCAGAGTGTTTTAAAAATATCAGGACACATAAGTCTTCATCTTGTTGTTGCTGCAAGCATCAATGAAGTAGAACATCCCATTTGAAATCCTATGCCTGGTCCTGCCTCACCTGTCTGTTGTTCTGTCCAGGTGAAGGTGGACAATCACAGTAAGTTCCAGGACATAGCCAGTGTTGTGGCTCTCACGCAGACGTACACCACCACAGAACCTCTTATTGACTCCAAATACGACATCAGAATCCAGAAGATTGGCACTGACTATAAGGCTTACATGTATGTATAAAAACACTTTATCACTCCAACTTAACAAGCGGATGAGAAAAGAAACTGAAATTGTAATTTGTGTGGATTTCACACTTCAGGAGAACATCTATATCTGGCAACTGGAAGACCAATACTGGCTCAGCTATGCTCGAACAGGTGGCTATGACTGAAAGGTATGTGTTCACTTCTAATCATATTAGTCCTCAATACAAAATCATATATTTCATTTTCTGTATCAATAGCAAAGAATGATGGTGTTTTAATCAGTTTGACCATAATATCTACATATATATTTAGTACCTTGTTCAGTAGAAGTGAACATAAGTGATCATCAGAGTTGGGTGCAGCTATTTGCGTCTGCTTGTGAGTCATATTTTTATTGTTTTTGTTCAGGTACAAGCTGTGGGTGGACACTTGCTCAGAGATTTTTGGGGGTCTGCTCATTTGTGCAGTCAAAGCTATCCATGGGAAAGATGGCAAAGATTACATCACAGAGGTAGGAAACGAGGATAATCAGATTTGAAAGTTTAATTTAATAATTATAATGGCTGTAACATACTAAACGGCAATGACGTAAAATAAAGTAAAAGTACAAATGCTGCCTGGTCCTTCAGGGGTAGTACGTATCATCCATCTTAAATGGGGCATATATTAAATAAAGAAAGGTTCACATGAGGCTGTTGACACCCTCTCTCTCTCTTTGATGTCGTCCATGTGCCGTAGGTGGTGGGCTCTGCTATGCCCTTGGTAGGGGAGCACCAGGCCGAGGACAGGCAGCTCATCGCTGACATGGTGCTGGCAGAGATGAACCAATCAGCAGAGAAGGACACAAATGCTCCCCAGAGACCCACCACTATACAGCCGTCCCAGGTGAAGGAACTCGCCAGAGGCTTTTATTAAGTCTAAATCATGATGGATATAATGTTGATATCCTATTTGTGTTTTTGCAAGTTATGTACACCATTGTATTTAAGTGATCTACCACTTTTAGACCTCACTCACCACAATAAAAAAAAGCATCAGATTGTATCTTGCTGAATTGGTTGTTTCTTTGTTCTTACAGGGAGCTGGCCAGAAGGGAGAGGTTGTCGGTGAACTGACTAAAAACGGCGCCGGACGCCCGCCTCAAGGTTGTCTGCAGTACATTCTCGACTGTAATGGCGTCGCAGTGGGTCCAAAACCAGTCCAGGCCAACTGAGTCACCCAGGAGAAAAAGGGGGAGGTCTCAGAGTCAAGGAAACAAAGGTGTACCTTAGCTGGACACAAGCGCAGACAAGTGTATGGATGCCAACAGCTAGAATCAGATCTGGGTGACGTGAGCTTGGTACAGCTGAGTGCTGGCCTGGACTGTGTTTTTAACTCTATGCAGTGTCAAAATGTACTGTCTACTTGTTGACCTGTTGATTTGTGTGCTTGTATTGGTCACCTAAGTTTCAGTAGTAGCTGTGTTTTTTTTTTAATTCTTTGGGGCTGTTGTTGATGATGTAAAAGCAGATCGTGCCTACACTGAGTCCAGTGCTGCTCTGTGCTACTTGTTTGACCCAACTATGACTCCTTTTTTTTTGGCCCCCTACCCTCTTTCTGTTTTCTATTTTGGTGTGTACCTTTAGATATTGTTCAAACTGTGGACTATTGTGCAGTTTGAAGTTTGTGTATATCTCGATAGGTATTCAGTGTGTGAGTGTGTATGGCTGTAGTGGTGTTTATTTTCATACTTAAACTAATAGATATATTTATTTTTGTTTGCATGATTGATACAAAGGCAGGTGTAAGTCAGTTGTTAATGTCTGATTAGTGGGGATGTTCATGTGACATCCCTGTTTTACTCAAGCTGTGTTCCCTGTGATCCATGCATTGTGAATGTGTCATAAGAAATGCATATAATATAGGCTCCTAAGGTTACATTAACTTATACATTCATAACCATACATAACCTGCAAACACACATAGTACACACATTCAGTTTGTGGCCTTTCTTAAAGTTATTTTTTTCTCTTAAATGTTGCCATGTCACGAGAAACGAGATTATTTAGAGTGATCTTTAGCAAATACAGATATAATAGATAAAATAAGATTTAACTAAGATTTTATCATATAGAATGCTGTTCAGGTGTGCAAACACAACTTAAATATATATGTATCGTTTTTAACCAAAGAATAAATCTACTTTGAATCAGTCTTTGCACTCCAGTAACCCGCATTGTAAATATCAACAGGGGAGCTGCAGTAGTCACATGTGTGTGATTTCTTCAGAGAACAGTGCTCCAAGGCGGTACTTATGTTTTCAAATAGCCTGTCGTAAATTACACACCAGAGAAAAGACACTGTATTCCAAATGTTGTCTTTTTGTGTTTGGTTGTTTGGAAGCAGGCTGGTCGTGAAAAGGTGTATAATATATCATTATTTATTATCATGCCAGACATAAAGTCCCCCCCCCCCCATTCCTCCACACTGCCCTCACACTGGATATCAGCTATCGCGGTGGTGTTGCCATGACTACAATACAAGTGCTCTGAGTTTTTAGTGTGGACTGTGATACTGCCATACAAAGATTCAACACGTTTACCCAGATCCCACTCTTCCAGTGAGCTGATGGAAAGTGCAATACAAGTCATTGTTTAGTTTTTTTTAGCTTATTAATAATGTACTTTATTTTTCAAATCAGATCTTCCATCAAATTCATTCAAAAAGCTATAGTCATCCGCACATTGAACTGTTTAAAAATGTTGTCACACTAACGCCACAATCACTTTGTTGTCGTCAAGCCGCTTTTGTGAAGGGCCATTCCCTTTTATCCCAAAACCCCCAAAAGTAAATTAGCATTAGCAAGATTTTTTCAGCAAGCTCTGTGAATCGTTCTTTCCCTTCTTGTACAAAGTGCCATTTTATCTGTGAGTGTATCCTTGTTAAAGCCATGCCTGAGGCTATATGGATGTGTTGTTCTGTTTCATAGGAAACACGTCAAGATACTTTATTTCCCAAAGCGAGGGACATGCAGAGGTACCCCAGTCTGTAATATCTGCATGATGTGGTTCAGTGATGATGATTGAATATTTGACAAATTGCGATGTTTGTTTGCCCATTGTATTAAGGTATAAAGTATATGTTCAGACCAACAGGACTGTAACCATTAAGGGCCATGATAACTTATATATATATGTACTTTAAAACCGGTGTTAGACTGTTTAAATTATGATCAGAATACAATATCATGTGGAAAAAAATCTATTATGGATATTTCCCCCTGTCACTGGCAATAAAGCTTACTTTGCAATATAAGTTTGGTCTGAGTGTCCTCATGTGTATGTTGTGATAATCACTATTAAAAAAACAACACTCACACTCAGTTACGTCACATATCAGAGAGGAGGCCATCAGGGCACACACACACACTCTCCTGCACACACTCCATGGCTTCCAATGCATGAAGTGGTTACTGTACTGTGTTAGAGGAGATTGTATTGTGTTCATGTTTTCCTTTAGCTTTTTTGTGACTTTATTTTGCCGTGTCTGTTTTACACGTTCAGTTGATCAATAAAATAGGGCTTTAAGAAAATGGGTTGTGGGTGTCTGAGTTTTATAAATGATGTCACAATGTGGACGTAAAGATAACATTTTTGCAAAGGTGAAGAAACACTGGGATAGCTGAAATCCATAGCATTGCTTTAAGGACTGTATTTGAATAAGAAGAGTATGATGAACACAATTTGGAACTTACATACACCATGGCTACTCCATACACCTGTCCAGTCTAATGGTTACATCAGCTCTATGTGTGTAAATAAAAATGTAAATAAACAGCATACTTATAATTGAGGGTATTGTTAAAGATAAAACGTGGTGGCTACATTATACTGAGAGCTTTATGAACATTACAATTATGAAAATATAAACATGCAGTACAATGTAAGTTACAACAGCTGTATTAGTTGGAGAACAAGCTGTATATGTTAACTTTACACACACACAGTCAACATTCTCTTTTCTTCCAGCAACTTCCAGGCCCTGATCAGCGCTTTTCTCGGAAAGACACCTTTTACCACACTGCCAGAGAAGACACAGAGAAGACTGGGACCATCTGCAGTTTGAAGCCCCTCAAAAATATCTGAATAAATGCACTGAATAAAGAAGCTTTATAGTCTGATTCCCAGAGCCCACTTGTTTGCTGATGGTGTATATATACACCATCAGCAAACAAGTGGGCTCTTGATGTGTGCATATCATTGCATTGATAAGGTGCTTTATCAAGATGTAAAGTGAAAGAGCTGTCTGCCTACTGAAAGCACAATTAGTATTAAGTTCATTTACTGCTTCTACAAACATGTATCTTTTAGTCATTTTGCTTTCTGTCATTCATGTAAAACCATCCAAGGCCGAGACAATCAATAATAATAATAATCATTGTAATGTGTTCTGTGTGCTGTGTGATTATCTTTAGTAAATACTGTCTAAAAAGTAGTGCTTGTTTGGGTTATTCTTTCTTTTATTCCTGTAATTTACAACAATATTTCTGAGTATAGATTATAAATCCATGAAGTCCATGCGTTTCAAACCAAAAAGCTCAGGATTCTGTCAGAACCCTCCTGTACAAGTGCAGGAGGTTAAATTGGACTAACATTTTGATCCAACACTTTCATCAGGAGGAACACATTTTATTCATTAACTTTTGATTTCTGACACAGAAAAGACATTCATTCTATGGTTTGCTTAATTTGGCACATGTATTCTGAAACAAAATCTATTTCCAAGTCAGTTCTGTTGTTCAGTGATCGATGAGTAAGTGACATAGCTGGCGCTCTATGCTCTGTTGCGAGCAAACATTGCTGTAATGTCTGATGTACAGGAATCAGGCGACAGCAGTTAAGACCATCACATCTTTTATTTGTCTTCGAGAAGGCAAAGCAAGGCAGCTTTATTTACATAGCACACATCAAACACCTTTCCAAGTCTTAGACCAATCCTACAGCTGATTCATGTTGCCTGCCTAAACAAACATTAACAAACATCATTCTCTGGACAAAAAAAAAAAAGCTCAATATTATGCATCTGTTTGGCTTCCAGATGGTGCTAACAAGCAGCCTGGCCTGGCCTGGTGAAAGTAAAAGCCACAGAAACACGAATTGGAATAACTCTTGGGCCCCGAAGCTCCAGTTGAGGAGCTTCCGTCTAGACTCATTCCAGCTGTCTGCCAATCTGCTGCACAACATGAACTACTTGTGCCCTATAATGGGGTCACTCTGCACGGACCATCTACTGAAAAAGACCGTGCAAGATGATCCATCTCATGATTAAGGAAGATTTAAGGCGCAGGCAGATAAACATAGGGATCCTCGACTGGCATGTAAAGCAGTTTTTAAACAATATAACAAACTAACAAAGCTTTTTTTCTTACATCATTACAGACATGTCATAGAGAGCTTTGTGGTGCCATCTAGTGGTGGAGCAGTGACAAAAAAAAAAACACTAACACTAACACCTAAACACTGTGTCTATCTTTTTGTGATTACATAATTAGCTCTGTATGCTGCTTAAGTTTGCTCTTACCTGTCACACAACTAAAACAAGCATTTTCAAAAAGGGTTATGAAACATATTGTTTTCAGGATTTGTTTCATGCGAAATTGTAATTAAGGCGTCATAGATGAAAATGCGACCTTATATAGTAGGCCCATGAGAAAATAGCACTCATACAATAGTCAAATTGATGGGTTTTTATCACCAGATGGAGGCTATACTAGAGAGAGGCTGGCAGCCTTCTGGCGAACACTATTACACAGAGAGAAGCTCTGCTAGTTTTAATGGAGACAATCAGTTAGTTTGGCTATGAAGAAAAAAAAAAGTATCTTTCCTTTAAGTGTGTTTTGTCAGAGGGGTTTCTTGTTGTCCGGGTCCAGTGTCCTGAGAAAGACATTGGATAGCTACGTTTTTCTCATTTGCTGACCTGCATGATTTTTTTGGGGGGGGGGTTTTTTGAAGTTTTTTTTGGGGCGTTTTGTGCAATTCATTGAAGAGATAGGACAGTGGATAGAGTCAGAAATCAGGGAGAGAGAGAGTGTGGAATGACATGCAGGAAAGGAGCCACAGGTTGGATTTGAACCTAGGTCACCCGCTTGGAGGACCACAGCCTCCATACACAGGGCACCCTAACCGCTGAGCCACCAGCGCCCAACTGACCTTCATAATTAAAAAAAAACTTTGGAATTGATACTCCTGAGAGTTAGATTGAATCATATAATCTAATAGCAAAATGCAATGGTGTTTAATCTGGGTTTTTCTGTTACTTTATAAATGTACTCCCCAACCTTTAAAGGACTAATGACATGTCACATGTTCACTCAGCTACATTTAACAGTACAGTCATTCACTTTAAGAACAATTTGCATCATAAACAAGTCAAGCTTTTGGAACAGCCACACATTATTAGCTTGTGGCTCCTTTAAAAAAAAAAACAAATGTATACCAAATCAATACATAGTGGAAGTGAAATGTAAGTGTTAAATACATAAATATGACACGTTAAAGATAACGATAAACAATATAGAATTATTTTGAAAAAAAAATGAAACATGGACCATTGTATCCGTCTGTTGTCTCAGTGTTTGCTGTATCATTTTGGATTTATTTTACTTTCCCAGCCCAATGATCCTCTCATGAACCCTCAGAGATATCATTGGTCGTTTTACTTTTGATACTGTTTCCTGATAATACAAACACTATAACTAATACAAAATTGACATTCAAAGTTTGGGGACACTCACTAGGTGGAGCTACAGTAGGGTGTGGATGTAGTAGGGTGTTTGGGTTCTTGTTGGTTTTTACTTTGGCCAGCCTGTGTGGCTTGTCAGAAATAGAACACATAAACACAAAGCGAAACGGCTGTAAAAAATAGACGTCTAGTGGTCAGCCAATGGTTAAGCTCTTATTGTCTTGCTCCTTTTGTAAAGACATCAGACCTATTTTTTCCCTCTGATGAGGCGTGTGATTTAAAAAGATGGATTCCTACAGAATCGGCCGTCATCTCTTGAGCTCAATTCAAAAACATGAGGAAAATCTACACTCAATATTTAGGTCACAACAAATATTCATTTATTTACTATAAACCTGCTCTAAGGAGTGAACAAGTAAAGCAGCCCGGCTCAGCAGGATTTACACGTTGGATGTTTACACTTAAACAAAATAGGACGGTCCTCTCTTTCCATCATGTCCTCCCTTGCTGAATGACTTCTGTTCCACTGATACTGCCAGTGGCTCTGCAGTGCACATCAGCCAATGCTGGAATACCCCATTGACGTGTCTCGACTGGATCCCCTGTGAGGTTACACCACGTTGCCACTGCTACAGCAAACATTACACCCTGCCACAAAGTCTTGCACATGTGTGGGATTTTACCCTGTTTGTGAACGAGGAGAAAAGCAGTTAATTTGGTGTCAACTGCTCACCTCACCTGCTTCTATTTCTGCTCTAAAATCAAGCCGAGGTGACGTACAGCAGGAAGCCACACCAAGTTTTTAAACTGTTGTTGGATGTGACAAAAAAAAAGTAGAAAAAAAAGAAACACTTTTTTTGGCAAAGGAATTTAACTTAATTTTATTAAAATATTGAATAAACAACTCTCTCACCAAGTTCACAATAAAACGTTTAACCTCCTGAAAGAGACATGATAAACAAATACAAATTAGTTTCCAAATCATTTTAAATATTTAAGACAACCACCAAATATCCAGCTCCTGGCAACCTTCTTCCCGTAGTGAGGACAGATGAGAATGTGTGGTAATCTACAGATACGTTTACTCGCGCAGTGAGCAGTGAAGCCAATGTGAGGAGACCGTTGGAATATAACTTTTTGCTAAACTGTGCAAATCCAGTTTTTTCCAATCACCACTCATGCTCACTGTCTGACCGGCTAGAATTCCTGCAGAATGACCCAAAGAATAAAGACTATTAAAAGAACAACATAACAAAAAGACAATAATTTCCCATATCTACTCCATTATCATTTAAGACAATGCAACAACAAAAAAACATTACTGTGCAACAAAACGGACTACATCCAACAACTCTGTTTGTGATGAGGAGGAGGTGAATTGTGCGGGATCTAAGTCCAGGCTTTGTTTCCTCTTAAGGCATTTAAGCTTCAAAAGGTCCTCTTCATCAGAAACCAGGACGGCAACATAGAAGGGTGTTCTTCACATCGTAGAACCAGAGTCAAGAGAAAAATACAGTATCTGTCTTTCTCTTTAACTTCCTTCAGTGTTCATTTATTGTTGTATTAGGTAGGTGTGCGTGCATGTATTTACAAAACCGAATGCATTTTACATTACCAAATGCATTGGCACCATGGAGCCTTTGCAAACTTCTTTATAATTGCAGCGATAAGCAAGGGACCTGCTCGAGGTATCACCTGCCAACCTGCACTCCCTTCCGTTGTAAATCTCAGGTGGACCTCCTCCTCTCATTTTTTTTTTTTTTTTTTTTTTTACATATTTCATTGATTAGCACGGGTTTATGTATGATTGCTTGTACAATTGTAGGTATAAACTGGCATCTGTAGGTAGAGAAGTCAGCCGATTTTGGATAATTCAAAGATGGAGAAGAGGAGGGGCAGTGCAGTCCGAGCCTCTAGAAAACAGGCAGTCTGGTGGAGGTCAGAGTGCAGGCATTGATATCCTCAGTGTGAGAGGCTCTGTGCAGGGACGGTTCTGAGGCACTGCGGTTTATCTTAGGGAGGGCATGCTGAAGAAGCTCAATGGATGACAAGATCTGAAAAAAAAGAAGAAAAAAGAGAATTAATAAGGACTAGCTAAAGAAAACACTCACTTGACTATAACTACTGAGAGAGGGACTCACCTGCGGGAAAAGCGGCCTTTCATCCTTGGACTTCTTGATGCAGTCGGCCACCAACCTTTTCATGGCTTTGGGGCAGTTCTTGTAGAGCTTACTGAGGTCTGGTGACAAGTAGCCTCTTCCCACCATGAAGATAATCTGCAAGGGGCGGAGCCACAGACAGTGGAACGTTGATCATCTAAAATGTTGATAATTTAACTACTGGTCCAAGTTAAAGTTAGCTGAAGAGACAGTCGATCAATGCTAAATAAATCTACTTTGGCACCATACGTCCAGTATGGTAAAGGTGACACAGGTCCAAAGCACTGATGCTCATGCTGATACTGTGAAGACATAAGTGCATGATGCTGCAGAGTAAAAAGATAACAGGAGTACTTTTTGTGCTCCCAGGTCAGCTCAGTGCAAAGTCACTCAACAGTATCAAGGACAGTTGGGGAACAAGAACTGATCAAACTTTTCGGAACACTTTGTACAGCAACTCCATCCAAATCTGAATACAGACAGAGTAGAGCTGACTGAACAAGGAGCCAGGCATGATCCAGACCACGTCCTCTGGCCTGTGGGTGGACAAAAAACCACAGACATGCATATACTCATGCACCCCTTTTCTCATACATGAACAGGGTTGTGTTACTGGGTCTAAAATTAGGCCAGTGGCTCCACTGTGCCTGCCTATGTTCCATGCTGGGCCTAAGGCCAGCTCCACTACCCCCTTCAGACAGCAACCTAGTGTCTTTGCACTGGCTGAGGTCTTTCACCATGACACTGGGATTCTAGGTGAGCACTTGACATCTGAATGTTGTCCCAAAACCCTGTTTTACATGAAGGAGGCACAAAACCTGCATCTCTATGGCTCCTTCAAATTGCATCCACATTGTGGCACGTTGATGCTCCAATATTCAGTGTTCCATTTCACCTGACACACAGTAAGCATGTGTAAATAATGAGACATTACCTGGTCTCTGTTTGCTGTGTGGGAGTACGGGAGCTCTCCCGTCAAGAGCTCAAAGAGAACAATTCCATAGGAATAGACATCGGACTGGAAGCTGTAGGGATTGTTATCCTGCATCCGGATAACTTCAGGAGCCTGTGGACACACAGACAAGAAATAAACTATAAAAAGGGATGACATTTACTGTTTGACCATCTTTAATTGATGTGTTTACTGACAAGCAGTGTTTCAATATAGTTCAGACAGAGCTGTGTTACTGACCATCCAGAGAATAGATCCAGACGGCTGCTCCACCTGAAGGGAGCCGCTCCATCTAGCCTTCACCGTAGCGAGACCGAAGTCACCGATTTTCACGGTTAGCCCTTCATGCAAAAAGATGTCTACACTGCTGTCAAGGAATCACAGCTAAAAACACAGTAAACACAGACCTGACCAGTTTGAGAGGGTTAACTGCATTAACTTGCAAAGAAAGCTCAGAAAGGATACTGTTGGACTTCATGTCTCGATGAATGATGTTCTTTGCATGCAGATAGCTAAAAATGAGAGGAGAATTTAGATTCATGTTAAAAAACAGTAAAAAAAAAAAAAAGAAGTGGTTTAGCTCTGTTCTTCAGAACTTACTCCATGCCCTGAGCTGTCTGCCTGGCAATGTCCATGAGCTGGATGATCTTAAAGTTAGTCTCCAGAACATGAATGTGTTTGTAGAGACTGCTGCCCTCACACCACTGGGTCACAATGGCCAGGTTGTCTTTCGTCATGTAGCCCATGAACAACAGGATGTTGACGTGTCGTGTTTTTCTGTGACCAGAGGCATGGGGAGGGGGAGAGAAGGAAATGACCAAAAAACAAAGATAAGATAAAAGTTAAGAATGATTCACCAAGAAGACAGACAAAGCTCATATTTTAGCTTAAAAAAACGACACTGCATTCCTCACCTCAGGACTGCCACTTCATTTCTGAATGCCTGTAGCTGCTCTGGTGTGGGGTCAGTCACCTTTAAGATCTTCACTGCTACATCACCTGCAACACAAAAACTCTGCTTACACACCCTGTCTTGCAAAATCCACTTTAAGCTCACATTAGAAGTAGCGCATGCACACAGGTAACTTTCAAACCATTATATGTGTCCGGTAACTGTGACGTTAATGCAAGTGAAAGTGTTAAAAGCTACACCCAAAGGTGCCCTGCCCACGTCAGAAACACATTCCTACCATGCCATTTCCCTTTGTATACAGTTCCAAAGGAGCCTGAACCGATGCGGGAGTTCAGATACACCTCGCTGGCCTCGATCTCCCAGTAGTAGCTCGAGTCCCTCTTGTCCCGAGGCCTCTGGATGAACAGAAACCAAAAAAAAGGTGCAACTCATGTAAGATAGGTGAACCAGGTGATCACGTGATTAACGGGTTGTGAAATGAAATAACCAAAATAGCAAAATAGGGATGCAGATGTTGTTGTGCAATGTTGTGTTTTTGTCCATGATTAATCACTTCGCATACTAACCAGGTTGTGCACTAAATCTCTGTTTATTTAAGGTGCATGCATGCATGTGCTTTTTTTTCCTAAAGTTGTCAAACTGAAAGGACCTGCCCACTTAAAGCCAAACCACTGCATCCCATCCCACTATTAAGACTTCACATTTTGTTTCTTTTTCACAAGGTTTATCAGGACTATTCACTTGTCCTTTCATTAACTCTGTATGTATGAAACCTTCCATGTAGCTAAATAGATTAAATACTGAAGAAGTACACACACATTTTTTTTATTATTCTATTCATTTAGGTTACTTCTGTTGCTGAATACAACAAGACGTAAAACTTACGATTTTATTTTTCTCCTGAGTGTTGAAGGATGTGGCCCTCTCTCTCTGGGCAGGTGCAGGGGCTTTAGAATGAGACTGGGACCAGCCAGTAGGGCTCTGGTTAGGGGAACTGCCAGCTTCAAGGAGAGAAGGGGAAAAAGCTGTTCAGGATAAAAAACTCATGTCTATCAAAACGATTTACCAGAGATGTACAAATGGTATTCTATGTAGAGGACTATTTAGTGTGGCCGGTTGGAAAAATGTTTAGGGTCTAATTAAAAAGTTTTAAAGGAATTCTGTCCAGTTAGTCGGTCATTGCAGACTGCATAGAAAATACTAGATAGATTTGGGACACAGCAATGACTTCCAAACTGCAAACTTCCTCTTTCAGGCCTTTCTTTCCAACAGCCTCTAACATATAGATGAATGTTGCTACTCTCTACTGATTATCAACATTTAATATTTTAGTCCATTACCTAATTGCTGCTGTGATTAGACATTTCCATTTTGGAAGAAAAACAGGGATGGCTACATAGTCGTTTCACAGAGAGTGAAGCCAGTAGGTGTGACAAAGCACTTCGGTACACAACCAAGTGCCAACACAATACAGAGTGAGCACTTACCGGAGTCATGATCACGCATCGCATCCTACAGAGATAAAAACAAAAAAAAGGGACAAAGTACTGTCAGCAGGTTCAAACAGCGCAGCATGTGGTTTTCTATTGCTCATGGTTTGACTTCAGTTCTAAAGATGTGAATAACCTGTGTGCAATGCATGCCATCCACACAAACACTGCTTTCTAACCTTTTCTGGACTCTCAGGTGAGGCCTCAACATAAGACTGGGGGAAGTGCACAATACCTACTTTCCTCTTCAGCCAGAATCTATGGCACCACGAGCTGGGGAAGGTATTCAGGCAGTCTAGCTACTCCCCAGCAGGGTATAATACAAGAGGCCAGTCAGGACAGGAGGGGGAAAAGGACACAGTAAAGGAAAGTGAGGAGGGGAAAATAACAAGAGTGATGCCCAGGTTTATACCTGGACAGAATATAGGAAAAAAAAAATGTAAAAGAGAGCATGCAAAACCAGTGTGCTGATTATGCAAGAACATTGGCAGTGAAAAGCAGAAACTAGACGTGAACAGGGGGAAGTTTAGTTGCACATTTTAAAAGTGCTAAAATAAGATGCTATCAGGGGAATTGCACAAAACAGGTTCCACCATGTCCAGGTGGACTACTTCATGTAGAGATAGATAAGAGGCAGAAAAAAAGGCAAGATGAAGAAAGGTGAAATGACTGAGATGTACGTAGGAGGGAAAGATCAATGTCAGTCGGGAGATATTTTAGGAGTGGCTTGAACCTGCAGGAGTACCCAAGGGGTCCAACATGGTCTGTAGTTACCTCAATCATACTGCTGTCTACAGGCAGGGTGGTGCTGACCATGTGGACATTTGGCGTGGAGGTGGAGCGCTGCCTCTGGGAGAGACCGCCGCCTGTGGGTGGGTAGGGCGTGGTGTAGTTGAAGGCATGAGGGGTGGAATATCGGTGGGCAGAGCTGTAAAGGTGCACAAGGATCGTTTGTAAGAACTTAGCAGTAAATGTCTGTCTGCAGCATTTTGTGTCACTGCTTCACAGACACAGACACAGACACAGACACAGACACAGACACAGACACAGACACAGACACAGACTTCTGAGAAATTGAACTGTGGTGGGTGTGATTGTAGTTGGGACTGGAGCTTTATCTGTACTTGAAGCATCCTCTGTTATCTGTTTTTGTTATCTGTGGATCTGCAAACAATCCAAATGTTAGCCTGATTTGAAGCTTTTGCAAACATAAGACTCTCAATTTCACAAATATACAGAACAACATATAAAGAACACTATTGCCTTGTCTATAAATAAACCTCAGTATTCTTTTGAACTAAAGGTCCTGGTGCAGCTCCTGTTACTAATCGGTTAACTGTACAGTACTGTGGCTGCTGGTTAAAATGGGGACAGTGAAACTCCAGCTGTGTGACGTATACAAACAGCGATCATATGAAATCACACTTGCGCTAATGGAGTGCACTCCTCGAGAACAAACCCCTTCTAGCAAAACAAAAACTTTGTTTCAGAAGAGGGTTTGAGATCGCGCTGCATGGAACAACTTAATACTTGGCGAGTTCTAGTTTGGCAGCCAAGAGCGATATTTAACCGTTTTAAGCGGTCCTGAAACAACAGGCTCTTTTGACGCCTCTCATTACATCAGTACTTGGACTTGTAAGCCTCCATAAAGCCGAGGACGTCATTAAAAAACGGGATTTAATTAAGGTTCTTTACAAATCAGAACATTACTACAACTGTGCTGCGGTCAAACATGGCAAATCAGAGAAAACAGTTGCGGCTACCTTAACCTGCTGAAACATCTCCACTCCTTTTTAGATTGTAGTGACCCAACAACCTCAATGTCAGTTTCCAGTAATTAGCTGAGATTTAATATATATATATTTTCAAGTTCTCTCTGCAAATCTAGGTGCTTGCAATCAAAAGAGTAGAGCAGTCACTGCCTCTCCTGTCATAACCTAATCCTGAACTTGGTCCTATAACGATCCGTTTAAGGACATGCAGTGGGGGTGTCAACACAGAATCCTTTATACTTCCATCACTCTGGATAAAGTCAATTTTAAACGACACAACATGGTTACTTTTAAATGCAGCAATCAAAGACTCTAAGCCTGTCTAAACTTAAAGCTATGACCGCCTGTAGCAGTAGAGCTGTTTGGTGTGAGTAGGTCCTCCTGTTATCTTATCGAACTCACAAGAATGACATTGTCATACTAATCTTCTGATCTATGGGTTGCCAAAGATCGGCAGACAAAGACTTATAACGAGCACAAAAGAATGTCAAAAAGTAAAAGACATCTAACACATTGGTTAGAGTCAAGTATACACATGTATGCACTACATTGAAATATTTTAGCTTTATTATTTTAATTCTTTTAAGGAATTGATTTAACTAAATAGTTATCTTTACACCAAGGCAAAACAACAGCATGTGTCTACGATGAATACTTCTTTTGTTTTGTTTTCTTTGGAGTGGGAAGAATTCCATTTAGAAGACAATACCCGACTGGGTGTTGTATCCCATCTCATAATATCAATATCAGGAGGATGATTGGATGTGGATTAATCATGCGTAAAAATGCTGCCTCACCTTGGAAACCGAGTTAAGGACTCTCTCATTCGACGGGACGTCAGCGAGGGCAGTGACGGGCCGGAGCTCTCACCAGGTGTTGGACACAGCCTGAAGATGGAGGGTGACAAAGAGTGAATATCTCACAGAATACAGTGAGTGGGACAGTCTGCATGCTTAATCAAATATCAGATAACTGAATGAGATCACAATGGTCTGCAGGTTAAAGATTTAGATCTCTAAGTCACTAAGATGCCTTTATTGTCAGTGTGAGATTGGAAAACAATGTTGACATCTAATAAGGTGTAAGCTTGTCTACATTATATATGACCTCAGATGTGTTTGTGTGAAGATGAAGTCAAGTACATTTATATGTTCAATTTCTTTTAATATTCCTGAATTTATCTTCAGAAACTATTGTTACACAACATACTGACATTATATCCGTATGTCAGGGTGAAGACACTCACAGAAGTTGTCGGATATTGCTCCAGTCCACACACATCGTGGGTACTTTGGTGCTACAATGCTCATGGAACTTGTAGCCGCAGGTTTGGCAACGGAAACCGTTCAAAAGAAACTTCTGGCAAATATCACAGAATGCAAGTTTCAGGTATGTTTTCCGAACCTGAAAAAAGACACAAGAAACATGTTTTTATGAAGCAGTGAAACTTTGAGGATAAACTTGAGCATGAGGATAAAATCATAAATGCTTCAGGTACTCACAAAATTATGTGTTGTCAAGGGAACGTGATCCAAAACCTCCACCAGCAGCTCTTCTCCAATAAGCGAGGTGGAGTCAGTGTTCCAATCCATCCGGAGCTTTTTACTGGGACAGAAAATGTGAGAAAATCTTCAGGAAATAATATAAGAAGGAACTATAACTGCTGCTGGTAAACACGTTTGTTTGTCAAATCTCTGACAACTACAACAAGCCGAGCTCACCTCCTCTGCCCTGGATGCAGCCTGAAGACAGCGCAGCACTGAGGCTGCAGACCTCGCACCTTTAATGCTTTTATCAAGCAACTGTACAGAGTCAGACCTGGTCGCACATTTACCTGGGAGGGGTGGGACAGAAAAAAATAATGCACTGATGACTTTCTTGATTGCATGGATTAAAACAGCTTAACATTTTACATCAATTATCATTATTACAAATGTTAAAGTGAGTCTATGAGCTGCTCATCTTCAACTGCTATAATTACCATTATTAGTCACCCCGCATTTCATTTTTATTATCGTTGCTAATGTTAACATTAGAATGATCTGCCTATTATCATACTTATTTCTGCTAATACCACACATACTGTTACCAACTGGTTTCTACCAGTTAACAGGCAGTTTTCCCTTGCTGCTGTAACTTGGCTTAAGTTATTAAAGTTAAGGAAAATCTACAAAATGCATCAAAAGCGTGTTGTAAAGTGTCTTGAGAAAACATTTAACATTGGTGCTTAACATATACAGACTGATTGATGCTGCTAGGTAACTACAACTACAGTGTTCCATCAGCCTAAGAAGAAGCCTGAAAGTCCATATGCTACCAGTATGCCAGTTTCAACTCACCACAGTGCGCTGCTGGTTTGGGAGGTAGACACGGATAGTGCTGCTCGTCTTGGAGTCTGGCATCTTGCTGTCATCTGAGGAGCGTCGCTGGCAGGGAAAACCCTGGACCATGGTTGGCGAGAGGCACGGGCCCTCAAACGAAGAGTCCTTCATTCCGAAGCCGTTGCTCAGGGTCTTCCACGCTCCCTGGAGGTGCTCCATTAGTTAAGTCAAATACTCGCAATGGTCTGACAAGAGCACAAAAACACATGCACAAACTATATTAGTAGTCCACAGCATCAATTGATTACTTCATTAATTCACAATAGTTTTCCATCTTCTTTGCAGGGGAATTTGTTGCATCCAATCCGCCATCAAATGAAACTGGAAATCTATCATTAGAATCTCAGGCTTGAATGAAAGTCAGTCAAAACAAAGATTCCACAGGTAAGAAAAACAGAGCAAATCAAACCTGGATTAAAATTATGCATCAGTAACTTGTTTGTTGTAATCCACAAACATAATCTCACCAAGTCGAACAACCCCTCTTGGGGCTTTTGGTCCATTTGAGGTTATGTCAGTCAGTACACTAGCAGGGAGCCTTTTAGAAGTGTGACATGAGAAGAGAAGACAACCTGTGTGTGCTGGTCTGTTATTTGCCCTATATGCTTAGCAAACTCTAACTACTAATTTAGTAGGAGTACAGAGAATACCACGTTGTTGTTGTTGTTGTTGTCGTTTTTTTAAAAGGTAAAAATAGCATTTCTCCTTTCCTTTTGATTTGAGAGGCAGCAGCAGAGCACTGTAGACAAACTAATCCACTCAGACCCGGAGAATCCGAGGCCGCCGCAAAAGGTCACCTGTGTTATTAACTACGTGTGCTTCCAAAAGATCCTTTTTTTTTTTTTCTTTCTGCATAGTCTGCAGACAACTGCAACTGAACATCTTGTAACGTGCAGTTTAAGATTAAAAACACAATCTTAACACAGAAAAAAAAAAAAACAAATGTAGAGATTGAAAAACTAAAACAAAACATCTGTGCTCCAACAAAAGAACATTTTTTTAAACTCTAAAGTGGCTGCTTATCACCTTATCACAAACACATAAGCTGTTCTTGCTGCGTCCTTTTACAAAATGCGTGGCAAGCTCCACTGATTCTTGTTTTGTCATTTTCAATGTGTACACTTTCTCCCAGCTGAACTGCTCATTGTCTCTGGTTTACCTTCTTGCAAAGACATGTTAACAGTGAAGAGATGATTTACTGCAGTTAGTGGTTAGCTGTCAGTCACAGCACACATGACCGGTATGTCAGTGGCATAGAGAAGCAGGAACTTTGTTGTAGGAAATACACCCGTTTCACCATGCTGGGGTGGTGGTGGTGGGGGGGGGGAATTCAAACAAGGGCTGTGATTGCCTTCAGAAAGTGGTATCTACAGTCAAGTAGCCTTTACTCCCGTTTGCTTGGATCTGTTCTACAAAACAGTCTGCATAACTTATCACAGTCAACTTTACAAGCATGCACTAAGTGCTGCATCCACTTTCTATCAGCCTACTGGATTGAAATATCCAAAGTCACAGATGTAGGCTAGGTGAGATCAATGTCAGCAGCAGGTTAGCATAAGTTTGATTAGGAGGTCTAACTGCACCGACTTTTGGACGTCTTCAATAGAGTCCCTATTAAATCCAACTTCTTCGCAAACTGAGTAAAAAAAGCCTACTGAAATGTGTGCATGGTTTGCACGACGAAAGAAGCCACTGGTAGCTACGTGTATTTTTTTTTTCCTTTTTTTTTAAAGGCCTCGTAGATCCAGTTATTGCTGTGAAATTGCCCGTAGGCCCTCAGAGGCGAACTAGCTTGTGTCGTTAAAACTTCACTGCACAGCTAAATTCACAGTCCATTCAAATGTTACCAGTTCAAACGATGCGTGTTTTGGTCGTGTGCCGTATGGAGTAGCTCTTTCGCGGTTAACGTTAGCATTTAAGACACCATTTAAAGTCGTAGCGATGCTAGGAGCCTGTAGCCTGTGTGTGTGTGTGTGTGCTTACCAAGAGAAGTTAGAAAAGTTGCGCTCCGCCATAACTTCAGGAAAAAGTGGCGTCGGTGACATCATCATATTTGCAACGCATTCAAAGAAAAAGGGAAAAAAAGTTGGAAAGGACCCTGAAAGTTGAAGCAAATTATTTGGTATTCGCTTAATGTACCGTTGAAGAAAGCGGCGAAGGTCACAGGCTGGTCTAGTTTATGAATAGTCTTGATATAATAGAGGAAAAGTTATATCTCCAAATGTCGGCAAGTAAAAGCGAAAAAAAAAATCCGTCGGAAACCCTCAAAGTGACATGGCGAAGGATTTCCTTAAGTCCCGCGGAGGACTTTCAACGTGAAGCAGCCTGAAGTGGCTCGGTAATGCTCCGCGTTTCAATCAATATTTACGTTGTTAGAAGAGAAGGTGGAAAAAGGTTTGACTTGGTGTCGAGCGTCCGTCTGACGCCAGTGATTGAAACAGGACCTCGCAGTCATAACAAGAGTTGCAAGCATCACTTGCGCTACTTTAGCACACTTAAAGCCCTCCCACTTGAATGATGAAACAGTGCTTTTACTTTTAAGAAATCAATGGGCCTAAATGTTTATAGTTCTCCTTTATGTTGAGCTCTAAACAAATGACGTTAGGTTTGAATTGATATTAGGCTATAGTCATCGTCAAATGTTGATCTCGTATTGGTAAATTGTCACTTTTTCGGGGCTGAAGCATGTACAAAGATTAGGCCTTTATCATTTACATTGCATATTCGTTTAGAAAAATGTTGCATTAAGAAATCCACAAAAATCATCAGCCCCCCATCCGGTTTGGAGTAGGCTAGGCTAATACTTGTATTACCGACTACAAGTGCACCATCATCTGGAGATTTGGGGAAGATGCATTTTGAAACTATTATGCAGCCTTCTTATATTTCACGAATGCATTGATACTTTTATCTTGTTGTAAAAATACACAAGATTAAACTGTGTGTCTGGTTATAGCCAGAAAAAAGGGAGTTCCACCTGGCGTTAAGAGTGTGGAGGTGTTTTAAATAAACAGAGATGCATTTGTCTTAAGATAAAAATGTTTAGTGGTTTCAAACGTAAAAAAAAAAAAAGAGACCACGGTTTATTATTTTCCAAACTGGCTCTCAAATAGAACAATTGTGAAACCTTACCCTCCACACTCACCATGTGTTCACCATCTCTGTAGCATCACCGTGTGGGTCCCCTGAGGTGCCCTGATCATCACAGATGGCTCACAGGTCCTTTCAGCAGGCTGGAGTTGACATGGTCTAAGTAAACAGCTTCATCACCATCCTGCACAGTGTGTCTTGATGGGATCAGCATAGGCTACAATGTTTCCACAGAGGAGGAGCAGACACTTTTAAGCAAGAAAACAATGCCTTGGCCTATTGCTGGTTTGCAACAGATCTGACTGTGATCCCACTCATCTTGGTTAACTTTCTAGTCTAGTTTTACTGAATGTTGTCGTTTCTGAAGGATATTCCATGAAACAAATCACAGAAATGCCAAACACTGGTTTCTGTGAGGATGACGGCAGGGCTTTGTCATTGTGGAGCTTTTTTAAGGTACTCCACACCACATGCCAAAGTACCATTGTATTTCAGTCCGTGAGGGCAAATATGATGAAAAATCTGTGTGTGTGTGTGTGTCTGTTAAATAGGACGCACCTTAGGTTATGACAACATCCCCCAATGCTTTGTATGAATGGTTGCGAGTTGACGAATGAAGATCACATGAACAATATATCAGAGCCACCTTAAGGCTGAGATGAATGCATCTTTCCCACTTATTGATCTCACAGAGCACTTACAGGCCAGTTAGCTGAGACGCTTGCAGCTCTCTGGATATTGTCTCTATCAGCTCTCTTGTATTCAAAACATGACGCAATCAGGACTATTCGAACAAGGAGGGTCTGCATCTGAGTTATACGATAACATGTCTGTGAAATCCTCCGTTTGAAACACACCCACAACATGTTTTGATTGTTTCAACCCTATTCAGGCTTTTTAATCAAAGTTTTGATTTAGCCTACTTGTGAAACTAAGTGGCCTGTTCTTTAAATGGTCATTGAATATGCTAGGTTTTTAAGAGGTGAACATTTTGTTTAAAATATCAATTATTTTGTAATTAACTTAAACTAACTTAAATTAGCCTATAATAAAGCAAAGGGGTTGGGTTAGGCTACATGTAAACAATTATCACATCGTATAACATTCTCATGTTTCTGTTCCTGTACATCACACCCTACAAATGCAGCTTTGACTAAAGCTAAAAGAACATCATCTTTTGTTTCTTATTGGTAGGCTTATTTAAACCCGCAACCATGAAAGGACCAGATATCTCTTAAGTAAAATGAGACTGGAAATATACACTATATTATCAAATAGAACTGCAAAGGGTCAGAGAAGTAATATGGCTGTTTTTTTTTTATAGAAATTTGATAAGTCACTGCACCTCTAATGTCAAATGGGTGGTGTCCATAGACTGTATATAAAAGACAGTCTCTCTGTAGACAGAAAATCCTAATTTAATAAATAAATTATGGATAACGAATACAATTCTAATATTAACACGAGGCGATTTCCTTGCCTGTGAGTCAATTGAATTTTAACTATTCATGCATCTGTTTGTTGACACAATAGGCTACTATTTAATCATAAACTTTGTATCATTTTTTTTTTTTGAGGAACGGACGAGGAAGGAAAAAGACGAGACCAGTCCGATTTATGGAGAAAGGACTAGTCTACGTTTGTGATTGGCTGGTTCGTAGAGGCGGTGTCCCCCACATCCTCGCTTCTGATTGGTGGCTCGCGGACTATGTGGCCAATGGGTGTGCAGGTTTTTGCTGGATACCGTGAATGACAATTCAGGAACTCCTGCTCCTCACACCGCATGCAGCGCAAAGAAGGAGGCGTAAACACTGACACAGCTAGGTAGCCAGCGAGGTAAGCAATGAAACTGCACTGAAATGTATGCATTAAAGTCGCGATTGACTCTTTGTTAACGTTGAAACTAAAACATGTTAAAACTACCGATAATGAAACATTCGCATGTGGTCGGGTGTGTTTAATTAAAACGGAAGAACTGCGGTGTGCTTCTTGCTAAAAAAAAAAAAAGCACTGGGGTAGGCCTAACTCAGGCCTGCTAACGTTAGCTCGTCACAACGACTTTGGGTGTCTGCGCCCTGCGCGGGAAATTTTGTTCTTGCGGGGTTTTTTTTTAATCTACTTGCAGACCCGGCAGAAACAATCCACGGTAAACAAGAAACCCCATTAGAGTCGCGTCGTGAGTCTCTCGTCTAGGAGAGAAGATCGATCGTCGACTGAACAGTTGCTTCTTGGAAGGGTCGTGGTCGTGAGGTGGGTCTTAGCATTGTGCTAACCAGCAGCAGTAGCAGCAAGTATCTCGCGAGTGCGCAGGAAAATCAACGTGACTAGGCCAACATTAGCGTGGCTCCAACCTTTGGCATCGGATTGTGTTTGGCAAAAGCGGTTCTGGATCACGTCGTGTGGTCAACGCAGTCGAAATTGATCAGTATTTCTAACGTGTTAAGGAAGCGAGACAGCCAACGCATTCTTAATATGACTTAGTTATTCTCTTTTGAGCAGCTATTTATCACAACACGGTGCAATGTGCCTCCCCCCCCCCACCACCACCACCACTCCATCTCCTTCTCCTCCTGAAGCTAGCGCACAAGTTAGCACACAACCCACGGCATGGTTTCACGGCACGCTTCCACAGTAGTCTGTGGCGTGGCGCATGATGTTAAATCAAACGCGGTATTTGATTTAAACAAAACAAATCCTCTGTTCTGTGCCATGTGGGATCGAGCTCTCACGCACTTCTTGATAAATCCCCCCCTCAATTTCAGCAGTTCTTTAATGGGCCGCTGTTATGTAAGTGTGAAGTTAAGGCCCCGACAAGACTAACTCAGAAGAGAAACTCAAGAAACTGGGTTGATATTTTTATTACGATCCACCCCGCGTCCGTTTTCTTATCTTGCCCTGTTCTTTTGGAACTTGTTGCGACAAGCTTGATTACTCATTAACTCACATTCTCCCTGGGTTGATGTCTTTAGCGCTGTCGGCAAGCAGAAGTTTGGCCTATGGCGAACACAGCATGTTTCCATTGACGAGATCGTGTAAGTTAGCTGTGTAGTTAGTTGTAGTCTGTTGACCCGTTATGATAGAGTCCGCAGCTACGAGATTGTGTCCCCCCTTTTTCTTTGGTCGTAGATTAGACCCCCAGGTAGTCGTTAATTATCTTATAATTAAAAAGCAAGGGCTATGTAGAAGATACATTGAAATATCAGTGTTTGTGTTGTTTTTTCAAAACCTTGAGAAAGCATGCTTGTTTCATGTTTTAAGTTTTGTTGAAGAATTTCTGAAGCATGTGGTCACTGGTTTCATTGAAAGCAACAGCTGCTCTGTCACTGTCTCACAGCTCCATTTGTTAATAAATTAGATTCATGCCACACATACAGCTTTTTTTTTTTGTGAATGAAAGCTAGAGTGGTTGAATCAAAACATGTCTGTGTAGCTTAAAATGATTCAGCTATCAATGTTTCATGTCAATGTTTCAGCTTTAACATCATCCTGAGCAACCTGATTGTTTGATGTGAACCAGTTTCCCAAGAAACCGACATACAAATATCCTCTTATTTATTGTTTTCCTCTCAACAGAACAAAAAAAAAGAAGTAGAAAATCAATATGGTTCATGGCGAAGCTCCTCTTAAAAAACAAACAAAAAAAAAGAAAACGTGTTGTGTAACATGTTAAAATACTCCCAAGTGCAGATGATGTTTAGTAGTGAAAATAGGGATATGACTCTAATTGACTTTGTTCATTTATGTGTTATTTTTTTGTTTGTTTAGGTCATGGAGATGAACAGCAACAGTGAGTGCTTTGGATGTGGCCGCTCCGGTCATTGGATCAAGCATTGTCCTAATGCCGGTACTTCACGTGGACGCGGCAGGGGAGGCCGGGGACGTGGCAAGGGTAATTAATATTATTGTTAGTCACACATGGGTCTTGCGAAACAATTTTCAGAAAACCCAAAGTTAAGGGGAAATGTTTGAGGTAAAGGCAATCGTTTAAACTGTTCTTTTTGACCTGTCATTGTAGAGCTGTTCTGTTACCGGTGTGGAGACCAAGGACACATGGCCAGGGACTGTGACCAGACTGAAGATGGTGTGTATTGCATTTCTTTTTCAGTTCTAATAAGTTGGTTTTTGAAGATTGAATTGATATAAATAGACATAAGTTAATATCCACGCTCCACATAGCAGAAGTAGACAAACATTTAGAAACTCTAATAACTAACCTTTAGTCAAACTTTTGGTAATGTGTTTCGTCACTGTTTTCGGTTTAGCATGCTACAACTGCCACAGGAGTGGCCACATTTCACGGGACTGCAAGGAGCCCAAAAAGGAGAGGGAGCAGCTGTGCTACACCTGCGGCAAAGCTGGCCACATGGCCCGGGACTGTGACCA